CCCCTTGTCCCTCTATTCCTCCCCCACCCTCCCACAAACTACTCTTTCCAAAGCTGTAATGTATCTATAACCCACTCTTCTCTTCTCTTCTCTTTCTATTCTCTATCTTATATCTGGGACTCTACCATCCATCATTTCTACATTTTTATATATCCTTCCCCCCAATATCAATATTGTATATACTTACTTTGAATACCAATATTATAACTTCAATCTATCCTGATGACCTTTATGTTTGTATGTGACCAATGCGTGATGATAGCTACCGTTTTAGAGGGAGGAGAAAGATCATGCGGATTTGAAAAAAGGAGAGACATACTTGCTCAACCATCCTCATATTGTATACGCTCTTTGTCCATGAAGCCACGTAAGGAAGTCCTGCATACATAATGTATTTCATCATCCTTGTGATATAAAGGTTTGCTTATGGCTTAGTCTCTTGCAAAAAGGAGTAACTGCTGATGCAACCATGGTGACATCTACCTTTATCATCCTAAAAGACATTTGTACAAATAAAGCTAAAATGATGGATGCAATTGGATCGTTGTTGCTTATATTCCTCGAATGCACAACTGAACACGAATACTAATCTAAAGGGTCGAAGAGGTAGCCTGACAATGAAAAGGTCCCTTTGTGATGGAAGTGAGCCTAAAAGGTGATACCATGATAGCGGATGTTGTCATTGTTTCATGATGGCGATATTGCCACCCGGTCTAATTTGGTCATGTCGGTATTGATTAAACATAGACAATCAAATCAAGCCTCTTTCATTGTTCTCCTTACACCCTCCTCCTATTGCCCGTCATTGTGTTATTGACTCTTGTGGTCATTTGTATGAGAAAGGCTTGAGCAAAGGTTGTTCCATCACCTATTACATCAGCTGCAATTGGATGAACCGTACTAACTGCTACCGTGGATGAAGCAAGTTTACTAGCATGAGATAGAAGGATTACCTTGCACCGCTACATACATAACTTCAAGTTGATATTGGCCAAATGTTTATTCAAAAAGAATCTTATCTAACAATGTTCGTGCATGTTCATCCCAAAAAAAAAGGTTGATCTCTACCTCCAAAGTCGACGTTGTCGATCCAATCACCGCCTAATGAAAAGTTTTTCAGCGCAACCATCAGAGAGTTTGAATTGATTTTACCTACTATCATTCCTCTTCGCCTAATTCCTCTCTTCCCTATGTGCCATTGGCAGTAGGTCTCGGCCTCATAATGCCACAGCCTGAAATCCAAACGAGCAGCCTGCACTGCATGAATAGGTCATAAAACTCCGATTCTTCCATGTCCCTCTCCTATGTTCAATTATCGTCAGAGTCGTATGTTGAATGGCAAGGTGTTGTACATACCTATATGAGCTGAATCGCCTGGTCTTGATGAATAGCATGCAGCTCAGGATCAAGATGATCATGCGAGGTCGCTCTTCCTTTTCATCCAATTGCTTCTTCACATAAAGATCGTGTTGGTCCTCTGCTGGCGATATTCGCAACCTCCTTGTATTTGATGCCAATTGTCATGTCGAGTGGTATTCGTAAGGCAAGCTGGTGGGATCACAAGAGTTGCATTAATATAGCGTATAAAGACACTCTTCAGCATTAACTTACGTGCTATCCGGTAGCCATCGTTACATTTAAGCGCTCGTTTGCAAGACTTTGGTGGATGTAACTAGCACGAATCGCCCTTGTTGCTTCACGTAAACCTGCCACGGCCATCAATGAACATGTTGTCTTCTGCATCCATGGCCATCATCATCATCAACAACATGTCGATTGGGTTGCTGCTGGTTGCTGATATCATTCTCAACACTTCCTCATCATACGCCGTGAGATCGTTGAGCAAAGGAAACAAGCACACCATAGTCTTCATCATGGCAAGGCCGAACACCACTACCACGATGGTCCCTCGACATGGAAGCAAACGATGGCCGTGATAGTGACGATGCTGCTTATCAATGTAAGTTTGACTTGTTGTTACGCTAATCGTGTGCTTGCTTACCAACCTTTGACATTTCAGGATGACTCTAATTGGCTTGAAGTACTGGATTGAAAGCTCATTTCTCAAAGGTGTCGAAAGCTGAAAGGGAAGAGAAAGATACCACCATGCATGAACCTCCTTTCACTGAATTTCAAGCAACGACACAATTGCCATTGCCCCATTCTCATTCGCCACTGCTACAAGGGCTGTTATTGGCTGTTCGCGCTATTGGTGGCAAAACATTGACTTGGAAGAGGCAACCTTAGGATAACTGTTAGGCATCACAAATAAATGCCATCATCCACATACTACTTTATGAATCCTTTGTGAGTGAGCTTATGGATCAGCCTAGTAGTTTATGGCTCCACGTTCTATCCTTATTAGGGGAGGGATTGTAATTCCCCGGCGATATCGATGAGATGGATCGTCCTCATCTAACTTCGTTACCGAGGATCACTTCTGTTAAAAGACAACCGTGTTACCTAGCTGTATCCAATGCAACCAATACATGAGTCGTTAGCTATCTGCACGCCGAAGAAAAGGGGGTTTGCATATCCACTTGCATAATTAGAGAATAATCTTTGCCATAACACCTGCATACAGGGGTGAAATTTATAGCACAATGATATGCAACCAGGTTGCCGGGATTGCCTATTTACCCCAACCAAAGTTATTTTACGCCTTCCAACATCATAATTGTGATGCTGTAGCTGTGGTTGATAACGTATTGTAGTGCACATTTGCGTGTTGGGAAAAAAAGCACATACTATATTGCTAACATGAAAACATTTACAGGGAAGCGGTTGATCTAACAGATGATTATGGATGAGGGGTTGAAAATTGCGGGATATGGAGAATGTGTTGTTATGTTTAGTTGGCACCGAACATCTTCTTAAGGTGAGCAGTGCTGTAGGACTTGGGGCGTTCCAAGGGAAGACCGAGACCACGAGCCCACTATAAAAGAGAAATATGAGTGGATTGTTTCGCTTTATATAAAAGTCAACATTGACACTTACGCAGACTTGAGAAAGACAGCCCAAAGCTCGTGATACACCGAACAAGACGGTGTAGTAATCTTGTTCAACAAGACCATAGTATTGGAGAAGGACACCAGAGTGGGCATCAACGTTGGGCCAGGGGTTCTTGGTCTTGCCGTGTTCAGTCAAGACACCAGGCTATGAAACAAGATCCCAATGAGTCATCTCTCTCTTTCCGATAACCTCGTGTTATCCTTTTTCCAACAATACTTACGATGATGTGATACAACTTGGAGACGAGACCAAAGAGGGGATCATCGGGCAAGTGCTTGAGAGCGAATTCACGTTGAGCAGTGTAACGGGGATCAGTCTTACGCAAGACGGCGTGACCATAACCAGGAACGACTTGACCGCCATTAAGAGTATCCCAAAGGTATTTCTTGATTTGTTCCTCGCTAGCATCAACACCAATGGTGTCCTTAAGCTTAAGGGTCCAACGGAGGACTTCTTGGTTGGCAAGACCGTGAAGAGGACCAGCAAGGCCGTTCAAGGCAGCGGCGAAAGAGAGATAGGGATCAGAGAGAGCGGAACCGACCAAGTGGGAGCTGCAAATCAAATTAACCAATCAGTCCCTTTGTTACCAGAAAAATCTTTATCCCCCCTTCGTGCATGTCCCAAAAGAGCAACTTACGTGTGAGCAGAGACGTTACCACCTTCGTGGTCAGAGTGAATGGTGAGGTAAAGACGCATCAACTCAACAAAGTCCTTGTTCTCATGGAAACCAAGAACCTTGGAGAAGTTGTAAGAGTAATCCTTATCAGCTTCAATGGAAGCAACCTTGCCATCCTTGTACACGTTGCGGTAGATACGACCAGCAATGTTAGGAAGCTTGGCAATAACGTTCATGGCATCCTCAAAGGTAGGGTCCCAGTAGTTGGACTTGTGGATACCCTCAGCATAGGCCTTGGCGAAGAGAGATTCATGTTGCAAGGCGTTAACAGCAAGGGCGAATTGAGACATGGGGTGAAGAGTCTTGGGGCAACGATCAAGCAATTCTTCAACGAATTCAGGGATCTCAGCACGAGCAGCCCACTCGGCAGACAAGCCCTTAACTTCTTCAGCAGTAGGGACTTCACCGGTAACGAGCAACCAGAACAAAGATTCAGGAAGAGGCTCACCACCCTCAACAGCACCAGGAAGCTGTTGTTGGCATTCAGGGATGGTCAAACCACGGAAGCGGATACCTTCTTCAGCATCCAAAACGGAGCCTTCCCAAACAAGACCCTTGATGCCACGCATACCACCATAGGCTTGGTCAACGGTAACTTCACCAAGGACCTTGTTGCCATAGTTCTTGCGGAACTCCTTGACCTCAGCTTGCTTTTCAGGAAGAAGCTCAGCGAAACGCTCCTTCAAGGTCTGAAAAAAAAAGCGCGTTTATAGGTTGGTTACCAAGTTCTTTATATCTACGCGTGTTTAATAGTGATCCTTACCTTAGCTTGAGAGGCGTAAGTGCGAGCAGCAAAGCGAAGAGGGGTTTGTTGGCGGAAAGAGGCACCCTATTGATGATCGTGTATGATGGTAAGTGGTTGTTCGTTACTGCATAATAGTATTCAGGGGTAAAGGCGTATATACCTTGAGCGAGGAGAAAGCACGAATGGCCGACATGATTAAAAAGATGAAAAGAAAAAAGAAGAAAACAAATGACAAGGGCGAATTGAAAGAGGCTGATTATATAACAAAAGAGTTGCTCCCGCTTTCGGCAAAACATCTCTGTCATCCACTTTTTTTTTGCCCGCAGGGGGGTACGCAGAATTTGGCATGATGTCAACCCAGCCCAACCAAACCGCAACTGCCTAAAACTTTTCCCTCTCATTTTTCCAGCACGCTCCAGCTGTGACCCCCCAACAAATTGAGCCCAACGTTGAAGCCAGCCCATCTTATCAACAAACGGCTGCTTGCACATCTCTCCTTTCAAGACGCCGCTTTATCTGATAGATGCCCGCATCCAATCGACAACATAGGCTCTTGCCACACACACACACATCCTGTACCCCTTGCTTGTCTATTTGTCATGCCGTATTAATAAAAAGCCCGTGAGTTGCCACGTTACATGTGATGCATCGCATGATGTCAACTCAGCATGAAAACGCTTTTTGCATTTGTCTTTTTCACAAAAGAAAATGCCAAAAGCTTATCAGCCATATGAATATTGATAATGGTGAAGAGTAAAGGAGGCACATGTGTAACATAGGTCGTCAATGAAGGGGGGTGTTGTGCAACAAGGGATCTTCTTTTTGCGCATGTTCCTGACTGGAACAACTGGAAACCATGCAAATGTCTGGGGTGAGGAACACAACATCAACAAGGCGAAAAAAATAAAAACAAAAGTTGCGGGGAAGAGGTGTATCACCTTGAACGTTTATCCACACACAATGATTCCATTGGACTTTTACATCACCCCCACAGAATAAAATGGATGTCTTTTTTTTCATGATCAGCATGTACAATGGGCCAAGCGTTTTTCTTTCCTCCCTTTTTTTGATAAAGGGTCTGTACTACGGGGCCGCTTTTGATGAAGTCATGGTGCTTTTAAATCACCTTTTCGCGGCCCATTGGCCAAATTAAAGGTGGGGTTATGCATGCCTATACCTCTTTACACCCTTTTCTTGCATAAGGTCTTGCTTTATGGCGGGAGATTCACACCTACATCATGTCGTTCCCGTGTCCATGGCCTATTATGGCTACGTTTGTTATCTATTTGCTATTACTTTTAGGCGGTGACACGATCACCCCCATCCCCCACGTTTGCTTGGGTCAAGCGTGTGCAAGTGTCTCAATTAGGGATGTGCAGCAATACGAGACCGTGGTAAAAAAAGGTTTAGTAAGAGAGATAACGAGCAGGACAACGTTATCAAGAAATGCCGCTTTTACATAATATCCATACACAACCCTGCTTGTCATTGGCACCATCATCGTCATCACAAAAGTAAGGTAAAGAGTATCTTTTATTCATCACCTCGTCATCATCGTCCTTGCCGTACATGATGAAGCTTGACGCTGACTGGTTCATCTCCACCATACCTTCCTCTAGAGGTATCCCTTTTACCTTTGAGGAATAAACCGGCGTGTCGGCGGTAATGTAACGTTGCCTTTTCCCCGTCACCATCCATTTTTTTTCACGGGACATTTGTTTCTTACTCATCCTGATTTGTATGATGTCTTGGTCATGTATACACACATGCTGATGGTGTATTGTTGTTATTATGGTGGTGGTGGTGGTGGCGTTATTCCAATGGATGGTTCTTTTTGTGTGAACATTTCATTTGTTTCAGCTTGCATGCTCTGAGTTGCAGTATCATCCCTTCATGGTGGCAGCACAAGCACGTGCAAATGTCATATCCTACTACGATTCCTCTCAATGATGCTTTTTACGTAAGCTTGCTTGTGCGGTTCATTGTCTTGATGGCTGAATGGATACGTATAATGAAAACAAGAATTGAAAAAGAAAAAGAGAACATTCATCCGCTCAGTAGCATTGTTTGTAAAGCATTCTGCCGTATTGTCAAAAGTGATAGGCTGGATGTTTTCCCGAACATGTTCCACAATTGTCACGGGCAATCGGATTGAGTATCGGATATTCACCGGGTAATTGCAGCCAATGGGATACTTTAACAGGTTTTCTTGTTGCTGTTGTGGATAGGATCGGCCAAGGATGGCAGCTGATGGTTGTGCAGGAAGGCTCATGCATTGATGAGAAGGGAAAAAATGTCATATCAACGCATTGCTGACACATTAGAAATGATCAATTTACCCATTGAGAGGGGCCATGAAATACCCAGGCCACGCGGTGGTGGCTTTAATCACTAATGCTCATTCCGCTGCTGAATTTGATAAGTAATGTCAGCTTGGTAGATGCTGCATCTTTGCTTACTCAATATAAATGAGCCTAGTCTACGTGATCAAAAAGAGTTGCAAAGATCATTATTCATACGTGTGATACGACACCACAATGTTGGCTGGTACTCCTTGTGGAGGGTATGATGCACATTGCTGACAGCCATTTGCACCCGACGTGGATCCCAAAACATTCGGTTTCAACTGTCAAATGGACCTGAAATTAGCGTCATTTGTTTGTTCACAACGTGAAATCGTGGAGCTCAAGCATAGGCATGTGATTCACGTATGTTTAGAGCATAGTAAGTAATAGCAGTTCAGGATTACATAATCGATTTCGACACGGCCAAAATCGTTTGAATAAGCATGACACCTCCACATTTGCCTTTTTTTCCAATACTTTTCCTTATGCACACGACTTTTCAAGGCCTCGCTGCTTTCGATACCTTGAAGAACGCTATGCTACTACTACTCGTATACTATCAAATGCATTTGAAATAGCGACTCCACATTTTGTATGCAATGATCGGATAATGAATACATTCATATGGATAAGGATGAGGTATGGCATGGTTGAAGATGATGATAATAGAAGAAGAAGGTATAAGAGAGGGAGAGAAAAAAGCTGTCAAAAGGGAAGATTTTGATCCATGAATCTTGTGCAACACGAAAAGTGAATGGATTTGATAGCAAGTGGATGTACAACGATAACGAAATCGATAACAAGCCGCATGGCGGGAAATTGCCATGGAGATCGGCGCGTGGCGACCGTTTGTTGATAACAAGTTTTTTTTCTTTAGGGCTGTCACCACTACCACCACCACTACCACCACCATTGGCTATCCCCAACATGTCCGATCGATCACGTACTCGGTTCCTTCAGGTGTATCAGAATGCTGAACATGCTGCACAAGACGAAGCTGAAGCCAATCCGTTCCCAGTCTACATTGACGACGATGAGAACGTTGACGCATTGCTTGCCCCCTTTTGCCCCACATCGGCACGACGCGTACTCAAGGCTCTAGAGATGGCTGGTGTACAGAAAGGAGATCACTTGATAGATCTTGGATCGGGCGATGGACGTTTTTGTACGGCTGCTGTTATGGCTTGTGGGGCTGCAAGTGCACTGGGTATTGAAACGGATGAGGCACTCGTTGATCGATCGTGGCAACTAGCACGTCAAGCGTTGGGAGAAGATAAGGCGTCTGCGGCGGCGGATGGGCTCTCATGGGAGGAAGTAGAACATGAACAACGACTTAGGTTTGTGCAAGGCGACTTGTTGTCATTGGAGACATTGGTACGCGATACCCGGTGGACTGTCTTGGTGCTCTTTTTATTACCGGATCACACGCACAAGTATGCGGATATGTTGTTGGAGCACTATCGCCGTGGTGCAAGGATTATTAGCTTAGTGTTTGATCTCAACGAGGTGATGGGTCTCAACTTGCTTTGTTCAGATGATCCAGAAGGGATTTATATCTATGGACAACAATAGTAGATAGGGCTATAAGTATAGATAGGATACAATAGTAATTAAATTATGGGTTGGTTTGATCGTGATGCATTATAAACACGCTTTCTGTGCAACAAGGAGTGGAAATGATCCGAGTCCAAGGCCACATGTTCTTCCTTTTACTTTTCACACACAAAATAATCCCTTTTTTCCCTTTCTCCCCCTCCTTTTATATACCATGGCTAAGAAAAAGTCTATGCAAGAACTTGTTAAACCCTTGAGGAAACTATCTCTACTCGTATCGACAACGACATCTTCATCCACTGGATCAAAAAGGTACTGTTGTCCACCTCTTGAATTTCATTCCCCACCGCCACCTCTCTTACCCGTTTGCATTTACATTTTTAGCACTCAACCCCATTCTCCCACAACGACAACAACGCCATTCTCTTTACAACATGACCATGAGCAACACGACATTATCAGCTGGCTACCACGGGAGATCGCCCTTGCCATTTTCTCAATGTTGTCTTTTCAAGATCTTGTGAGAGTGCAACTGGTAAACAAGATAGTCCATATAAGCCTAAACAACAACAACAATAACACGTATACTCTTATAGACATGTCGTATATGGAGACGCATTGCACAGGATGCATCGATATGGCGAGCTCGTTATCATCAATTACATCGACTCTTTCCAGACCTCTACTTGCATAAACGAATCCTCAATGATACCATGAACGACGACCCTCCATCCGACCCATCATTATCATCATGGCAAACCCGTTACTGTCAGGCACAAACGCATGCAAACTGGAGGATGGGCAATGTACAAAGAGCGAAACGTATTAGTGAGCATGATGGTTCTCGATTACTCTCTGTGAAACTCAAGCAGCATTGGCTTGTAACACTCTCTGAGGTAAAAAAGAGAAAACCCTTTATGAGCTTGTTGATCGATATACTTATATCATGTAACACACACCAATGCAGAGCAACACAGTACAGCTTTACGAGTACGCCATGGAAACGGGTTTCACCTTGCATAGGAGCTGGCATTTCGGTGAATCAAGTATTGTCGAGTGCGTTGACATCTTGCCTGAAATACATATTCTAGTTGTAGCCATGCGTGGATCGTAAGTATATGCTTAGTTTAGAAACGCTGGGGGAGTTACAATTACTCAAATGAATCCCTTTAGAAAGTGCATGTTTTACGATGTCAGCACTCAAAGTACAGAGCCTATCCAAGTCCTCAAAGGCGGCAGCCATCCATGGTTTTTCCCCGATTCGATTGCCCTGACTCAGAACTACTTTGCAGTATCAGGAAGGAAACCATCAGCCGTGTTCATCTGGAATTGGAGAAAAGGTGTTCGTTTATCAAATAGGGTAAAGTGATCATTATCATTACCAATCGGTAACTTGTTGCTAAAAGGGAAAAAAATCAGGCATTTGATAATCAACCTCACAGCGTCTATATTTCCGGGACACATATCATCACTATCAGCGTCGATGGAATCCTTCATACATTTGATATACATGATCCAGTACAACCAGCGATTACATTCACCCTACCACCATGCAACATGCCTTGCTTGAATTATGATGGTTCATTCAATTTGGTGTTGGCACCTTATGCAGCACGTCGTATACATCATTTTCGGTGGGATCAATCCATCAATGAGGATCATGAGGACAATGAACAACAACAACAACAGGGGCAACAACCCGAACCACAGCGATCCGTCTCATCATCCGTATACAGCTCCATTTTCAAGAGAAGAAGGTCAGCTCAACAACATCGTGCAAAAGTGACAGGTCTACGACGTCATTCTTCATACAATGATTATGGATACGCGTGTCAAGCACGAACAGCCCAATACATTAAAAGGAGCCAGCCATCAACAAAGTCATCAAATGAAGCATCACCGGACTTTACAAGCCAGCTACGATTATGCAAATCAATTCGAACAACGCCCCTTGGTTGGACAGCTCATAAAATTGTCAGCGTTGCGGTGCACAATGATCGCGTTGCTATATTGAATCGGTATGGTGATATTGCTCTCTTTGCGTTGAATGGGACAACAGCGGCACACGTGACTCTACGCAACAAACGCATATGGATGGATGAACGATCAGATACCAATTTTCGTGACGAGGATGAATTATCGGATGGCTATGACTTTATACGATTAAGGTTAGCCATGGGGAGTATGGGAATTATCTATGCAAGCCGAGGTGGTTCATTGTGGTGGCTCGATTTCGCTTGTAGACCAAGTTTATAATGACAAATATATGAACATTGTTTTATTACGAGGCGTGTTGTTGCTTATATACATGCAAGGTTGTGGGGAATATTATATGTAGTGATGTCTACAGATAGGATGGAGTTGGTAATATGATGTTATCGAAAGGCATTTTGGATGGCTTGCTTTTGTGCAGGTGTAAGCTGTGTGGGGAATTTGACGTCGTACTTGATGATGAGGTCGCCCTTGTTACCCGTCTTTGAATTTGGCATTCCTTCGTTCCTGACACGCGATTCTTGTCCTGGTTGAGTCACCTTGTCACCACTTGAAACATTCAACTTTCGATCGTCGAGTGTCTTGATCTGCTTGGAGAAACCAGTGAGCGCCTCCACCAAACTAAGCTGCATTGACATGCGTAGATCATCTCCTTCGCGTTTGAAAATGGGGTGCGGCTTTTCCTCCACGATGAACTCGATATCTTGTGCTGGGCCATGACCCAAGTCGTCTCCTTCTCCAGGGAACCGGATTTTGGTACCAGCTTTCCAACCAGGCTTGACATTGATTGTGAGGATCTTGTCGGTGTTGGTGGTTTGGCCTGTAGTACGATCACGAACGGTACGTGTCACCTTGAGTCGCTTAGTGGTACCCTTGTATAGATCTTCTAATGAAATTGGTAGTGCTCGTTTGACTGCAGCAGGTGGGGGAGATGATTGCTTGGATCTTGGTGATCGACCACTGCCAAAGTTGAAACCGCCTGGCATGCCACCGCTACCACCCATTGGAATATCATCATCGAAATCCTCATCCATCATACTGCTGCCATGGAAACCGCCACTACCTCCACCTCCACCAAATGACGCAAAGAATTGCTTGAAGATATCATCAGCATTGGAAGGATGGAATCCACCACCAAATCCTCCACCAGGACCACCTGTGCTAAATGAAAACGTATGCCCTCCACCACCAGGGAAGCCTCCAAAGCTGCTGAATCCACCACCAGGGAATCCACCAGCACCACCAAAGCCATTGGCACCAGGTGGTGGTGCTCCTCCTCCTCCTTTGAGACCCTCTTCGCCTAATTGATCATAAACGGCTCGTTTGTTCTTATCGCTCAAGACTTCAAACGCTTCACCAATCTCTTGGAATTTGATCTTGGCTTGTTCAGCATTATTCTTGTTTCGATCAGGATGCCACTTTAATGCTAGATCATGAATGAAGATATTAGTAAAGAGATGATTCTATATAAATGCGTACAGCTCTACTACTACATACCTTGTTTGCGATAAGCCTTTTTGATGGCATCGTCGCTAGCGTCTTTGGAAACACCAAGAATGGCATAATAATCCTTGCCCATTGTTGTTCTTTGTAGTGTGCGTGAAAGTAGAAAGGGGTGATGCTGATAAAAGCGAGAAGGGGAAAAAGGATAAATGAGGCATCATCAAGGGACCTGATGCAGTGTTCTTATATGCAAGTGGGCTGTCGGAGTTACTCTTTTCTACAAAGTTCCAGGCGTTTCGTCCCTTTTGCTCAATTACTGCATGAGCATTCCCCTCCTCCTTCACATTAGTGTCAGTGCGCACACACCTCCATTTCTCCTTTGATGCTTGAATGGGTAGTCCTCCTTATAGCATGCCATAGCACACATCCTTTACCAAAACTATGCATAAAACGGGTACATAGTGTATGCATCAAATCACAGCAGCATGCAAGCTTTAGGTTCAGTGGAGCTGTATTTTATCATCCTAGCGCCCACAATGCATCATCTACACACCATGTTTTGTGATCAATGGATCTCGACGAAATCGGTAGCAGTGCTAGGTAAAATGCTAATCGAAATCATGGACATTGCATTTCATGGCCAAAGTAATACATTGGTCTTCAAGTTTCCTCGTAGATTAGATGCCGTAGAGCTACAAACATGATGATGGTTCAACTGTGGATGTCATATAAAGATGTCTTGGGGAAGTACGGCTATTGCTACCTTCATCCAATGTATCAGCGAACATTATTGGCTGGCACCCACTGAGCATGAATCCAATGATTTCTCCATAAAGGATCGAGACCATCAGCACAGCAATCTTTTTTTTTATAATTTTGACTATTGCTTCATTGAATGGCATTCATTCACATCAACAAAGTAATCAATCATGATACCCATTAGCGCTAGAAAGGATGATCCTTAGAGCGCGATGCCAAGACTAGTGCTTGCCAAATTGGTAGATGACATACAAAGACCTCAACTTTAATCACCATGAAGGCCATGTTGATGCGACTATAATATAGAAATGGAGGCAGCTTCTTTTGAAAACAAGTATGTCATACCCGGATGATGAATGTTTTTGTATTCTCGGATCAGGATATGCATGCAGATGCAGTTGTTGTGCTTTTTTAATATTTGTGACCGGGAGAGCTTTCCGGCAACACGTTCCGAGTCAGTGGTACATGATCGTCTTTAACGCTCTTTTTCATTCCTCACGCAAGGGTATACATAAAAGCAAGCAATAGGGCAATACGCCACTTTTTTACCCGTTGCCATGGTGTTGTTGTCATGGTTTGTTGGTTGTACATCGACAAGCAAGATGCATCTTGGGTTGTTGATTAGGCGGCAAACTATTACAGAAATGCACTAGTCGATTTCCTTCTATGATCACCCACATCACAAAGACTACTTTTGAAACGGAATGACATGCTTAATACGAGTAATTTATGATGGCTACATGGCTACGTATGTATATTTTTGCAACAAATGGTATCATATTTAGTGTCATTGTGTTCCTGGATTTTCCAGTAGGATGATCTGAAACAAACAATGAAGCCTTGTGAGCCAAAAACATCGGACTGAAAGCGGGGCTCAACAAAGAACAAAGACTTGAGCAATGAAAAGCGCGGAAAAGCATCCTCAAAAGGCAAAGCATAAAACAGGCTTAGGCAGCTTGGCTGTGGTGTGTGTCGAAGAGCTATAATTAAACGCAACACCACGGGATGACATGACACGGAAAGGCCGTTCCTGCCTTGGCTCGGCGGCGGAAGGCGATTGTTACACATTTCTTTGCACTTTATTTTTTCTTTCACTCGCTCTCTCTTTTCCTTCTTTTCCTTCTCTCTTTCTTTTGCTAATCACCAAAACCACACTTTTCACGGATCGGCAGGAGTGCAATGTACCCAAATCACCCTCTTCCACAGCCACCAGGGCAAAAGTCAGAGTACGACCAGTACCCTTTGCAAGATACCCAATTTGCGCAACAGCCTGTCGATCGTGCAGAACCTTTTCGCCCTCAAACCGTTGACCCGTTTGCAGATCCTTATCCAGACGCACCACAACATGGTTACGATCATCAACCTCTCTTGAGAGATACGCCTCAATTCCCAGCGGCAGAACCTTATCCACCTCAACAACATCAACAACCAGGCTTTATGGCTCCTCCTTCTCCTCAACCACCTTATGGTGCTCCAACTTCTCCCAACATGCAATATGGTGGCGCTCCTCCTTCTCCAAACATGCATTATGGTGGTGCTCCAAGAAGACAACCTCGTCGTTACAAGACAAGTAAGTGCATTTTCATTGTAACATGGATTGAAGCAAGGGTATACTAATATCACTTTTAGCGCGTAAGGTGAAGCTTACTCGTGGTAACCTTGTTTTGGATTGTCCTGTTCCTCCACGTTATCTGCAAGCTGTGCCTATCAAAGATTCCAAGGAATTCACTCATATGCGTTATACTGCCGCCACTTGTGATCCATCGGAATTCGCGTCTGAAGGTTACACGTTGCGTCCACAGCTCATGGAACGTAAAACGGAGCTCTTTATTGTATTGACCATGTATAACGTAAGTCGTGAAAAGGAAACGGGTGATGGTGGTGGTAAATAGGTACTAACAAGGGTGATAAACAACAACAACAACAGGAAGATGAGGTTTTATTTGCACGTACGATGCACGGCGTTATGAAAAATATCTCCTACTTGTGTGCGCGTGATCGATCCAGAGTGTGGGGCGCTCGGGGTTGGGAACGTATTGTCGTGTGCGTAGTATCAGATGGCCGCAACAAAATCAATCAACGTACACTTTCCTTGTTGGCTGCTCTTGGTGTCTATCAAGATGGTGTTGCCAAGAACATTGTCGGCGACAAGGCAGTAACCGCTCACATTTACGAATACACCACACAACTTTCCATCGATCCGGATATGAAATTCAAGACCGCTGACAAGGGCATCACGCCTTGTCAAATGCTCTTTTGTCTCAAGGAAAAGAATCAAAAAAAGATCAACTCCCATCGTTGGTTCTTGCAAGCTTTTGGTCCTCTCATTGATCCTCACGTTTGTGTCTTGATTGATGTTGGTACTCGTCCTGGTCATTCTTCCATTTATCATTTGTGGAAGGCCTTTGATATCAATTCCAACATTGCTGGTGCTTGTGGTGAAATTCGTGCCATGTCTGGTAAGCTGGTTGATTAGGAAAGGAAATTGTTATCAAGGTCAAATGACTAATAGGGTTACTCTTTTCTTCTAGGTACGGCTGGTGTGGCGTTGCTCAACCCATTGGTGGCTGCTCAAAACTTTGAATACAAAATGTCCAACATCCTTGATAAGCCTCTTGAATCTGTTTTCGGCTACATTTCCGTTCTGCCAGGTGCCTTCTCTGCTTATCGCTACACGGCTCTTCAAAACGATGCCAATGGTCATGGTCCACTTGAAAAGTATTTCTTGGGTGAAACGATGCATGGTGGTGATGCCGATATTTTCACTGCCAACATGTATCTTGCTGAGGATCGTATCTTGTGTTACGAGCTGGTTGCCAAAAAGGATGCAAGCTACGTATTGCATTATGTGAACCGCAGCTATGGTGAAACCGATGTACCTGATCGTGTACCTGAATTTATCTCTCAACGTCGTCGTTGGCTTAACGGCTCCTTCTTTGCTGGTGTATACGCTCTTTGGCATTGGCGAAAGGTTTGGGCTTCGGATCACTCGTTAATCCGCAAGATGATGTTCATGGTTGAGGATATCTACAACACCTACAACATGCTATTCGCTTGGTTTGCCATGGTAAGCTATTCTTTTATACAACAAAAGTATCATGCATGATGCTCACACATTATATTTCAGGGCAACTTTTATCTTACTTTTTACATTCTCACGAGCGCTGTTGCTTCGGACGATCTTGATCCAGCACCATTTTCCTCCACAGTGGGAAATGTACTGCACACGGTTCTCAACTACATCTATATACTCTTGTTGATCGTTCAATTCATCCTCGCACTTGGTAATCGACCTCAAGGAAGCAAATGGGCGTATACTGGCAGTATGGTCTTTTTTGCGGTGTTGATGATTTATATGATCTTTTGTACTATTTGGATTACGGCTGTTGGTATCTCTTCTGCTATCGAAGAAGCCGATGGATCGGTGGTGGCAATGCTTGGCCAAAGCATGTTCCGCAACATTATCGTCTCGCTTATCTCAACCTATGTCATGTACTTTGTTTCAAGCTTTCTTTTCCTCGACCCTTGGCACATGTTTACATCCTTTGTGCAGTACATTCTCCTCTCGCCCAGCTACACCAATGTTCTCAACATCTACGCCTTTTGTAACACACACGATGTCTCCTGGGGTACCAAGGGTGATTCCAAAATCAGCACTGATCTTGGTGTGGTCAAAGCCAAAAAGGATGAGGCGGGTGAACACTTGGCTGAAGTCGAACTTCCTACTGAGCAAAAGGATATGAATGACGCTTATGAAGCAGCATGTCTTGAATTACAAACCAAGCCTCCTGTTGAAGAAAGCCATCGTGATCCACAAACCAAACAAGAAGATTACTACCGCGCTTTCCGTACTCGCATTGTCTTGTCATGGATTATCAGTAACCTTGCCCTTGTCGTTGCCGTTACAAGCGCTGCATTCAATGGTCTCGGCACATTTGAGGAACGAAGCGTCATCTACCTTGGTTTCATTTTATGGTCCGTTGCCGCTCTTTCCTTGGTGCGCTTCGTTGGATCATGTCTCTACCTTCTCTTTAGGATCTTCACTGGTTAAACAGCCTGTTGATTCATTCCATTATCTTGCCTTTCACTCTTTATTTGTACGTAATGTTGTTCATCTCTCTTTTCCTTTCCCCCTGCCTTTTGTATAGGATATATCTCACCAAAGCAAACCAACCAACTGTATAATACAACCACTTTTTAAAAATAGTATCTCTAAAGCTGTTTATACACATTGAAATTAAGAGCGACCGAAAAACTGATTATCAACTATATGACGGAAGCATTGTAAAATGACATTCTGCTCTTCCTTGATCTCCTTGGCAAGAAGCTAAAAAGAGGGAGGTATCAGCAATGTTTCATCATCATTGTCCCTTGAGCTTACCATCCGTAACAAGTTGGGTCGTTTTTCTTCCATGGGAGCTGGCTGAGTGCGTTTGGTATTCTGTTGTTGCTGCTGCTGTGTCAAGGTGAATCACTCATTCCATATCCTTTCTTTTCAAATTGAAACTTACTGTTGGCTTTTCATGCACATAGCGACACTTGTTTCCATGCCTACAATTTCCTCGAGCAAAGAATCGGCACCTTGGTCCCGAACGTGGTTTTTGTTCACTAGGAAGAGCAATCTTGCCCATGGATGTGGGATCCTTGGCTGTCACAGCATCACGTTCAATATCCACACTGGCGTCGCTATCACTCTCGTCGTCATCATCGTCGTTGTCGTCGTCGTCTGATCCATAAGCACCCAATACATTCATGCTTTCCATTTTGGGAACCTTGTTACTGTCAACATTTCCATCATCCTTGCGCTTCCTCTTTTTGTCACTTTCTTTGGGGAGCTGACCACGTGCAGCACGATCCGCTTGCTCGCGTTGCTATGGCAATGACACTTAGCATTCGTTTACATAAAACGATCCAATCCTTACCTTGCGTTCAATGTTTGCTTTGGTTGGCCAATTTCGTTTACGTGCCTCAATCCATGCTGCCAATTCCTCGGGTGTGGTGATCTTGGGTGCATTGGGTGGTACAATACCATCAGGCTTGTTTCTGCAAAGTTGTTTAGATACGAACAATCATCTAATGACGTATCTTTTGATGTACTTACTTTTTCCTCGAACTTCCTTCAGGTGGTATCTGCCCATGCTCAACCTCCATGTGTTCCTCCATCACAGCCTTGATGCCTGAAAAGCTGCACATTGTGCATTGGATATGGTTTCGCTCATGCTGTTCCTTTGCTGCCTGTGTTCGGTACCATCGATTACAGCAAAACGACCTGCATGATTCGAGATTGGTGAGACTCCCTGCAAGTACAACAACCTTTCATTTGATAAACATACCCTTGAGGACGTGGAGGTGAAGGTGCTGGTGAAGGTTCAAGGTCATTGTAAGCAACCATAGCACGTTGTGGTGGATAATGATGATGATGTTGTTGTTGTTGTTGTTGGGTATAAGCCTGAGCCGGCTGTTGGTGCGAGTACCACATGGTGTTGTTGCTTTGACCACCTTGCAATGCGGTTGTAATGGAAGCAGCAGCGAGTGCTCCAAGAGCCTGCTGTTGTTGTGTCTGTTCATGGAGTCGATGGATCACTGAAGCATGGGGTGGTGGTTGTGAGGTTGTTGGTGTATAAGGATACTGCTCTTGTGCGTGCTGTTGTTGTGGGGGATAATAGTAAGGATATGACGGGTCATACTGATCTTGCTGCGAATGGCTATACTGATAGGGTTGCTGCTGGTTGTTGTATTGATCGCTCCATGCTGGATAGTATGAACGGCTACCTTGCCATTGCTGATGTGCCATTGATCGATCGAGGAAAAAGAACCTGGATATGCGGGATGAAGCGGCGCTGAGAAACTTAGTGGCTGAACTCATGCAGTATCACCTACTCCGTCAATTGTGAGCCACGACCATCATCCTAGTAGTTGGAGTGCATGGACGATTAATTGGTAGATGGTAATTGGTGATGCCACTTCTACAAGCTACTTGAAACGACTCGCTGACATTGGGACACCATTGGTTACGAGAAAATTGGTAAGTACCGTTTGGGGTGGGGTTCGCTTGGTTACCGCGAGTAATTGTCATTGCGACTATTGACATAAACCATGCTCTCTTTAGGCTCATTTCTATAGCTTTTTATAAATCTCTTGCACCTTTTCTCAACATAATAGTCTCTGATCCTTGCAGCATTGTAGTATAATAGCTAGTATATTATACCTCTAATAACAATGTTCCTTGGCTTACTCTTTTACGTCGTGCTCTAATAACAGCATCAAGCATCATCTTAAAGGAAGAAGGGAAGTGCCAATATCGACCCGCGTGCTTTTGTAGTTGACCTTTGTAGGCTCACATGCAGGTTGATCCTTGCTTTTCAACTCAAGAAAAGCATTGTCGATATTGAAAGTGGACAACGGTCCGAGGCATCGAGAATGCTCATTGACTCTTGCTGAGAATAGATGCCTTGCGCTCTTCATTAGCTATCTTCCATGATACTAGGTGCTGATCCACGGTACTTTTTCTCGATAAACTATTATGAGACGTCATTAGCAAATGATATCATGCCGCTATTGTGACGATGACTAGTAATTGAGTGCTCCAGAGTTTGACCACGTTAATGCGTGACTACCGAAAAGCATCTTTAATCATCGAATGGTACATGGTCAATATTCGCTTCATCATGCTCGAAAGGATCTTGCTCATGGTCAATTGCGCACGTGCCTCGACGTAAGACTATGTCACTTGAAAAAGGCTTCTTGTTGGTATCCAGCTGTAAAGATCAAAATGATGGGTGGTGAGGGTACCTTTAATGATCTTGGAACGGTGCTATAGGTGCTACGAGTGATTACATGCTTCATGTCGACAAACACCCTTCTGTATCTGCTATCATGCCGAGATCTTGTGTTCCTTCTATCGTTAGCAAAGAATATTCATATAGGGTGGACGAATGTGTCTATATACGTTTGAACCACGTTTTCTTGCTAAGGTAGCACAAGATTTATGCAACATGCAAAGTGCCTGACATGGAGCTGATTATGCCATTGGATTCATCAGTGCGCGTGCCATTTCCTCCATAACCCCTCGTTTTCTCAGCGCAATTCCATGTAAACGGTGTACTTTGTAGAATGGTTGTTATGAGCATTCTACCTGTATATGCCTCAAATCAATCAACGCTTCAAATTTCATACACCACATAGTTTGTTTATATATCATGTGGACCCGTTGGTGTTGGTCGCATTCCAATCCTGCTCACTTGATAGTAGCATAGATAGCCTAGCTATTGGTTTCATATAAAAAAACATCCGTTCGATTGTGCAGCAGATATTAGAGCTAGATACTAACTCAACATAGTTTTGGTGAGCGTAACGAGTTCAATGATCCACTTTATTGATTCGGTAGGTGCTATTAGCTAACTTTGCAATAGAGATCGGGGATTTTCCTGAAGACGCCTAAAACAGGCTCATTGTTTGAGTTCCATTGTTCCTCGCTTCTCTTCCACCAAACAGCCTTTTATAATCACTCTACGCAAATGTCGAATATCCACAACTCGCAATGCACTTGACGATCAACAATCTTCCTCGACATTGCAGGTTCAAAAAGGTGAGTGCGATCCTTGTTGGTGTCATGCAAAGTCCTCATGTGCCCTTCGCCCTTTGGTAGATGAGCTGCAACAAGGCTTCAGCATCTCAAGGTTCCTCCTGGTTATCAGTGGGCGAGTGGTCGTACTGAAACGAACTTCTCAGGCTGGACATCCGATGAGTGGTACGTTGGGTTGATGGTTGCATTGTATTGTCCTTGCTTATACATGTTGCATATAGGCGCATCTGGACCATTGCCTTGTCTCCAATCCTTTGTATGGCAGGCTCGATTCCGATCTTTACGACAACTGGTGGAAGTTTGTTGATGCTGTACGATTGATTTGCCTGCCAACTATTACAGTCCAAGATGCCTATAAAGCACACGGCTTGTTAATGGAATTCTGCAATGGTTGTGTTCAGTTGTATGGGAGGGATTTTTATCTCACCTAACATACATCTCCATGGCCATTTGCTAGAAACCATCCTTGACTTTGGGCCTGTGTATGGCTATTGGTTGTTCAGTTTTGAAAGGTACAATGGCTTGATCAAACACATCAACACTAACCAGAAGGATCGGTTCGAGGTCACCTTCATGAAGGAGTTCCTCAAGGATATCTATCGTGGTGACCACTTGCATCAAGTTCTCAATACGTACTATCGTTTTCGCTCCTCGAATACAATAAAGGTTACAATGATATCAAAGTCAAATATGGGATCTCAATCCAAATAAGGGGATGTCTTGGGTGATAGACAAAAGCATAGATAGATCCATGAACTACCTAATACCGCAGCTATTAAATAAAAACGTCTCGGTTTATTGGTTTCATCATGTATGCAACTGACCACTTTTATCAGCTCGATCATGAGTTTTTATTCTATGTCACCAACAAAGGTCCCCAACTCATTCTCAGACTAAGATTGCCTTGCTACATTGGCTAGTGCAGTTATCCTCTGATCATCACTCGTTGCTTGTTTAACGGCTTTGTCGAACTCCTTATAAGAATCATCGTTTTTTTGAGTCCATCTATCTCGTCCTTGGTTAACTTCTTGAGTAGCGACAATTTCTCCAATCGAAATTCATAAGGCGTATCAAGTAGCTGATGCCCGAATTGCTTTCTTACAATTCCTTCAAGGATCAGGGTTGTCATATCGATGCTTCCTCCTCGATTGGTATACGCTTTGAAAACTGTATTGGATTGATCGGAATGTCCCGCGACACGGCGCAACTCGTGGTCGTTTGCGCCTGCCAAGCAGGTGGGATCCACCAAGCCTCTTCACAATGTGTATAGGGAGGCGTTAGCTATGTTACTTGGTCAATACATCGTTCCATTTTTCCAAATCCCTTGTGAAATTTATACTTACGTGGGAGCCCAGCATTCTTGTTGCATTTCTTATTAGCCTACTTACGGGGTAAACCTGCATTCTTGTTAATTGCGATAATGCTTGCTGAATGTGGTTAACACTCGTAGGCTCAGAGTGAGACTGGGATCGCCTTTTTCTGCTCGTTGGAACAGCACAAAGTGCTTGCTCCATTCTAAGTATGCGCCTCTTCCAAGATGCCTCGCTACGCAAACTCATCAATATACAAATGGAAAGGAAAGTGTAAGATGGTTATTCGCACGTACCATGAATTTCTATCAACGACAGCATCAAACACCACGAGACAACAACGAGCAATAAAGAAATGAAAAAGCTATACATGATGTGCAACAAGGATCAATACATGATGTATATGTGGTATATAACATAAAGGCTTCCTTTGACACTTACCAACGACGGCCTCTTGGAGGCGTTATACATGCAATCAAAAAGACGAAAGAGATGTGTGTAGCGATGTTGGTGACAACAGCCTTGTTTATATGTGCATGGGCGTGGGAGTTGTGGTCATACAAAAAGAAGGCCATGATTGATTGAACTGATAAATGGATCTACCGCCTTACAATATTAGACCTAAAGGCATGCACCATCGACAACTGATATCTTATAGAAGATCAGAGGAGGACATGGGTATGTTGTCAATCAATCATCGTCTCGATGAGTGGATGATCAAACACGCCTATCTTATAGTTTTATGGGGATAGCATATAACACGCTCATGTAGATAAGAGCGGTGCTGTTGTTGCACTTCTGTTACAGACCGTCAGCCAAAAAAAAGAGATACATGATCAAGTACCAAGTTAAATGTCACGTGACCATAACAAATGGCAACAAAAATGAACCGAATGATCCTGTATTGGACCAATCGATCAGATAATGATCTGGAATGGAGAAGCCGCGCATCGATCGCGGTACCTCTCGCATGCTAAGCGAGCGCTCTACCATTTGAGCTACATCCCCTTGATTTTTGAATCACGAAGTAATAAAAGGGCGGGTCACCTTCCCGATTTAGAAGGTATTTGAATCGCCACGAAAAAAATTGTACCATGTAGCGGAGATGTGCCATCATCGATTACAAAAAGCCGAGAGCATTTTGGGGAGGTCATTGTTTAGCAATTTGATGTCAAAGGGGAGGTGATGATTCAATTGAGCGGAGAAGGGAGGGGTGTTTGCAATTTTTTCGGCAACAGCGGTTCAGAATGGCACATGCCATAAATCTCAGCTATCGAGTATATAGCAATTACCTATTCGCATCGCATGCATCATAGAATAAAGGTTTCCAATGATAAGAGATATCACAAACATAGGTGAATCCCGGAGTGATATGTGATAATACCTTTTTGTTATATATAGCAGTATAGTAAATTGCAAGCTGATGGTGGTATTTTATTAGTATTCGAACATTATCATAGGAAGACATGTTGTGAATCATGTTGATATCAAAGTAATGCATAAGGGGTGACTAGCGAGAATGGTAACTGACTTGGATGGTGCATGTGCATTAATGCAAAAAGTCTGTGACTACTTTACCGAACATGCAATTGCTCCACAAGAAAAAAAAGCCTGCTTAATTTTCTCTTTCAGCACCTTCTTTATAACCATGGCAGGCTTGAAACGCAAGGCAACAAGTCAAGCAGACGGCAATGATACCAACAAAAAGAGCAAGAGTGGTAAATCGAGTGGCGATCGAGTGGCGATCGAGTGGTGCTACTGAGCGATGTGTCGAAAAGCTAACGAATGAAATACAGGATCGCACCAGCAGCAAAAGGCGTTGAAGCTCGAGCGTAAGGCGCAGGATCCCAAGTTTGATATGATGACAAAGACCAAAAAGATCTGGGAGACGCTTCGACGTGGTGACATTAGCAAAGAGGAAACCAAGGACCTCATGAGCCAGATCATGGCTTTGATCGCCGGCCATGTCAAAGAGGTACGGTACAAGAGAACAGCGATCCAGCAAGTTGCTTAATAGTCTATTGGGATAATAGGTCATTTTCAAGCACGATGCTTCTCGTATCATCCAAACCTGTCTCAAGAAGGGCAATTCTGAACAACGAAATCAAATCGTATCCGAGTTGAATGGTCATTTTGAGGAGCTCGCTAAGTCTATGTATGGCAAGTTCATTGTTCTCAAGGCACTTGAATATTGGTATGTGTGACCATGGCTGTAAAGTGGATGTATGATTGTATTAATGTCATCTTTTTGTAGTCCCAAGCAACGAGATCAAGTCTTGTCTGAATTCCGTACACATGTCAGAAAATTGATTCGCCACAAAGACGCTTCCACTGTTGTCGAGACATTCTATGCTCAATATTCCAATGCCACGCAACGCAATGAGCTTTTGGCCGAGTTTTATGGTCCTGAGATGACTCTTTTCAATCGTGGTGGTGGTGCAAAGACGCTCGAAGGCTTATTGGAATCGCTCCCAGAGAAGAAGGATACGGTTCTCAAATTCATGTCCGAGACCTTGATTGGATGCACAGATAAGGGTACCATCGTACACAGTATCGTCCACAAGGCATTGTTGCAGTATTTGACATATGCAGATGCCAAGGATCGTGAGGTATGTGCTGAGGGATCATTCCAAATCAACATGCAAGGATGCTTATTAGGATGTTTGTAGAATATGATGGCCCATATTAGAGACAATCTTCAAGAGATTTTGCACACTCGTGAAGGAGCCAAGGTAGCCATGATTTGCATTTCATACGCTTCTCCCAAGGTAAAATGATTGACTTTGTAAGAGATGTGAAGAAAAACTTATGCTTTATTATAGGATCGTAAAGCCATTGTCAAAAACTTCAAGCAATATCTTGTCAAGATTGCCCAAGATGAATATGGCCACTTGGTCTTGATTCGCCTGTTGGATGTGATGGATGATACGGTGTTGATCAACAAGGCTGTCATCAACGTGAGTGTCGAGTGATATGGATGCGTTATGACATGGTTGGCTAATGCTTGGTGGTATAGGAATTATGCAAGAATGCCACTGATCTTTTCGCCGACAAGTTTGGACGTCGCGTGTTTTTGTACATCCTTGCTGGTCGCAACACAAAGTACTTTTCTCCCGAGACTGTTCGACAAATGAATGAAGGTGATGCTATTCGTCAAAGGTAAGGATAGGATAACGGTGAGATGCGTGATAGATGGATCGCTTACACTGTTAATAGCAAAAAGGACCCCGAAGTTAGAGCCAAGGAAATCTTGAATGAAGCATCGCCTCTCTTGATCGATACTGTTGCAAAGAAAGCCCCTGTGTTGATGCGTGAGAAATTATCTTCCCAAGTTGTCCAGGAAATCTTGTTGCATGCCACAGGTAAGATATACTCGTAAAGCCAACAAAAGGATGTGATGTTCATTCAGAGATGCTTTTTTAGGTGATAAGACAGCAGCCATCAATGCCATCTTGGACTTGGCTTCTGAAAATATTGAAAAGGAGAACCACATTATGCAAGATCGCTTTGGTAACCGTGTCATTAAGGCGATGGTTAAGGCTGACAGTGCCGAAGAAACCAATGACAAGGGTAAGCTGGCATGGCAATGAAGCAACATGTATGATATTAACATTGTGGTATGCAGCTGTTGAACCTCTTGACTTTGCACCTCAACTTCTTGAACGTATCAAGCCCCATGTCGGATTCTATGCCACCAACTTTGGCAGCTTTGTTATTGTTGCATTGACCGAAGTACCATCCACATCCTCAAAAATGAAGAAGCTTTTGAAACCACACAAGAAAGACATTCAACAAGCTGCCAGCGAGAACAATGCCGGTGCCAAGATCCTTATTGAATTATTGTAATCATATAGTTTTCATGCGAAAAAAGTCATTGTTGTATTCTTTCATGCGTAAAAGTAGAGGCTATTATTGAAAATCTGCTGCCTTGCCAGTCTATAGAGAAAAAAGAATAAAAATATTGCATATTCCCATTAGCATACATATATAACAATCGTTGATTGCCTTTTTTCTTACCGTCAAAAGACCCACAATAAGACCAAAGAGACCCAAGACTGAGCCGAAAATCTCAACGACCAAAACCTTGACAAAGAGCTGAGGATCCTGGGCATCTGCTAAAGCAGCACTGGAACCTGTAATGCCAACACAGACACCACAAAGAAGATTGCATACACCCACAGTGAGACCACCCCAGAAAATGGCGTGTCCTATTATCCAACAAGTAGGCGTTAGTTCCACATGGGTCCATATATCATACACACACACACACACACACACACAACGCAAATGCTGACCTGTAAAGTAGTTGGAAGCAGAGTAAAGCTGTTCAGGTGGAATATCGTTGAGCTTTGCTGAATAGACGATGGTCATGATGACACCGTAAATGGCGACGACTTCGCAGAAAATAATAGAAATGAGGTTGCGAGATTGGATGCGAGGTGTCTTGACAGCACCACCCAAGAGAGACGAGCCTGTAATGTAGATACCCCTATAGAATAAAATAAGTTTGCTGCATCTACAAGACGCGTAACGGATTCTTTGCATTACCAAGCAGCACCTGCAACCGAGAGACCAATACACAAGCCCATACCAGTGCTTGCCCATGCATAGGGTGATGTGTCTTCGAGTAGCTTGCCGACATTGAAGGCTTCACCAGTGCCGGTGAATAGCATGTACAAGCCTACAATGCTCAAAAGACTGATCGCGCCTGTAGCGAGAGTGGTATAAAAGCCGGGCATAACAGTAAGGTGAAAAGGAGCAAAGGGGAAGGAAAAAGAGAGCTGAAACACAGGATGATGGCGTCGCGGAGTCATCGTTGAACCGCTCGTCGTATCATCATACACCCACACACCCACACACACTTCACCACTCATTGAAATGATGTCACGCTATGCTGAACAATGGTACACGATACCCATCCTCAAACATTAAAGGAAAAGAAAAAAAAAGAGTTTTCGTTGCTACATGCATACATAATATTATATATTTTGATCTTCTAAATATCGCTAATCGGTTTCCTCTATGTGATACATTATCGTTAATAACTTCGTTTGGCTGTGATTTGGTAAACTTACCGGTATGATATCCGCTTCGTCTATGGAAAGAAAAATCGATACATGAGTGATGCTTTGTATATATGAAATACGAGTCCAACTTACCTCATCTCTGCCAAAACTCTGCGTGCGTTTGTAAGCTCAGCATCCAATTTGAGGATCTTGACTTGCTGCTCCATTTCCCTCCGCTTGAACTCGTGCACCGATAATTTGTTAAAGTCAATGTTGAGATCATCATTCTCTGCCTTTTTAGCAACGAGGTTGCGCACTTGCTTAACAAGTTCAGCAGCAGCATCCTTGACAGCCTTGGCTGCAAGCTCAAGACGCTCTTGTGTACGGGACATGAAGGTGGACTTGACACGTGAAGCAGCGACAAGCTGTGCTGTTGCAGCTGATACTTCATTGGAGGCGACAATCAATTGCTCAAGCGAGTGTGTCTTGCTAATAACACCATCAGCAGCTTCGACAAGCAAGTTGGTAGCAAATCCAACGGCCTTGGCAGCGGAGATAAGACCTTCAGTCCAACGATTGTGCTTTTTGTAAAAGGCAGCCTTGGATGATGAGCCTCTACCTTGGGCAACAATTTCCTGCTGAGAAGCTGTAGCACACTTTATCAAGTTGCCAATAGCATTGGTCAAGGCAAGCACCGAATTCAAGATCAACTTGTGCACTTGGATATCCGTAGCTGAGAACTCTGGGTTGCTAGGACGTTGCATCAATGCTTGGATCTTGGCTGTGGCTTCCTCAATAGCACGTGCGGCATTGTTCATTTCTTGCTCAACCAAATCACCAATTTCACCATCTTCAAGCTTGTTGATATCCATGCCCGTAAGAATCAAATCCTCCGTCTTTTGCGAGAGCTTCGTCAAGGAATCTTGTACACGCATATCACCCTGGATCAACACTTCAGGTCGTTGTGCTGATGGTAACATCTTGAGATAGGATGACATGACACCGCTAAAGTATTGGATACACGACTCGGCAGATTGACGGGCAAGCTTGATGATTTCTTCAATATCCTCATCATCAACAACCAAACGAGTGATGCCTTTAGCATGGAGGAGTACATCAATAATAGTATCGGCAAATTCGAGTGCACGAGTAATGGTAACGGTATGATCGCCGCTGTTGCTGCCATCAAGGAACTTGCTAAAAGCTGACATGAATTCAACAGACATGATGCTGGCTCGTTCAATCATTGACAAGGTCAACTCAGGTGTCGCATTCTCGTTGCCATGCTGTCCTGGAGTCTCAAGCTCGTAAACACCTTCGTTGATCTTTTGTACACATGTTGTCAAGATGCTGTCTATTATCACAAACAAAGTTAATACATCAATGTCAACGTCATCCATGAGCCTTTAATATTTACCAAGGATCTGGTTGAGTTTCTCGGTTTGCTCCCTCTCCAAGCGGTTGACCTCCTCTTGCAAATCTTCTTGGCGGTCATTCTAATAAAGGCATCGTGTTAGATATTGGCATCATTGGTCCACATAGCTATGCATTTGTTACCTCTTGTAGAGCTGCCAATTGTTGAAGGCATTCATCCATACCAGCTTGGAGAACAGCAATCTCTTCATCTTTCTCCTACAAACAATCCAAACATTGGTATGCTGATTACTTGTCAATATCATAGTAGCAGTTACTTACCCTGCGAATACGATCGGCATCACCTTGCTGTTCTTCCATTTGTTTGAGGAATTCATCAATAATAGCTTGCTTCTCGACCAAACTTGCTTCCAACTCGGCCTTTTCACGATTGAACTTGGCGATAAGAGCACTAACTTCAGCACCCTTGGATTTGCCAGCATCTTGTGCTTGCGAACGAGCATCATTGAGTTCACGTTGCATACGTTCAATATCATCACGTTGATTCTGTATCAAACATACACCTATTTAGCATGCAATAGAGAGCCAACCTTGTATCTTTACTTACGGTTTGAATTCTTGCCAATTCATTTCTTGCACGATCACGCTCACGGATAAGATCAGCAAGCTCGACATTCTTGGCACGCATATCAGCTTGCATACGCTCGAGCTTCTCGGTAGCTTCATTGGCCGAGTTGGCCTTCACTTGAAGTTGCTTGTACTTGTTGAGCAAATCAATGTGTTCCTTACGCAGCTGGCTGTAGAGCTTGGCAAGAGCCTCATACTTGTTCTTCCACATTTGGATCTCATCTATAGACATTCATCCAGCATGTTAGGACCAAAAAAGGAGGATGATACCAATAAAGAGAGCCTTACTTTGAAGCGATCGAATAAGCTCATCCTTGGATTGATCTCGTTGTTGAAAGTGCTCATTGACTTGAGAAAGTTCTTCTTCCAATGCTTTCACTCGCTATTTTGACGCACATTAGTGTCATCATCATCGACATCATTCTTGTCATATTTTACATACACGATCATATTGTTCCAAGAGCATTTGATCCCGCTCGACTTGATTACGATAATTGAGCAGCTGCATTTCAAGTTCATTGATACGACCAGTCTGGTGGCTCAACATTTGTTGACGCATCAATTGCTCTTGCTCTTGACGTGCACGTTCAGCAAGCAATCGTTGTTGTTCCTCAAACTCCTTTTGTTGCTGTAATTGCATTTGGCGCATACGTTCTTGTTCAGCAGCTCGTTGTTGAGCCAATTGCTTTTGTTGTTCTTCATATTCTCGTTGTTGCTTAGCTTGTTGTTCAGACCAGAAATCAACGACGGGTTCAGGGGATGGTGCTGGTGCTGGGGATGAGGATGCAGGTGTTGGGCGTTTGGGAAGGGTTGGTGTGGAAGCGCTTTCAATGAGAGAAGGGGGATCCTGTGATAATCTTGGTACATCAATCAAGCTGGTAAGATATCTGAGATTGGCGCATTCTGAATAAAATCGCAAAAGGCCATAATGCTGTTGGTTGTAACGTTGACGTAATGGTTCTAATGCATCCATCGCACCCGTACCTATTTCATCCACAACATAAGATACTTGTTTCCATTATCATCATCCCATCCCATCCAAGATTACTCACGTTTGTGCATAGCGCGTAACATGCTGGTAATAAATGTGTAGATGCCATAACTCTCTTCCACCAAAGGCACAAGCGATGCAATACGACATTCGTTGTTGCTGGCCATGTTGAAACTGGAGAAAACCACCTTTTGGAAAGTATCGATACGATCTTGAAGTTGCATCAACTCGCTGATTGTTTCAAAGCTATACACAAAGACACAAAGAATCAATATCCTCCTCCCTCATTGTTCATGCATAATGTCCACCACCACCTTACTTACCCTTCATTTGGATCATCAATGTTCTTCAAGCTAATGTATTCCTCGTATCCAAAGCTGCCATTGAACTCGGGGTGTCGGCGATGATACTGAAGCTTGTACAGCAAGAGATCGACATAGTTACGGATCAAGGTACCATATCCACGAATGCCATCAGCCATCACACTCCTTGCACAAGCTTCCAACCATCCTATTTCACGGAGAGCATCTTTGATAACCTAGTATAGTTCCATTATCAGTATTCGAATAAATACATATATACTCGTCGCCAACATGTGTCTTACATTGGGATGGCCGTCCTTGATGATCTTGTGCACCGTGATGAGTGCCTTGAATGTTTGCACCTCGTCGGATAGCAGTGGCTGCACCTTGAGAATGTTCCAAATGACAGCAGACGTACGGTGGTCCCAGGTGTAGACAATACATTCTAACCGAGATGGTGAGTTGAATGGGTCGAGAACAACCGGGGATGACAAGCTTACTTCGAACGTGCTTTTGTTTGGGTGCACTTTCCTCAATGCTGGTAGCCTTTTTGATACTCTGGGTCAATTCACTTTCGGCCTTTTCCGGTGATAGATAGGACATTGTAAAGAACGGGGGTAAAGAGAAAAGTGTGGGTGGGTTAAAGGAAAGGGTAGCGTTTTAGAAAAGAAAGACTGAGAGAGAGAGAAGGTGGTGGTTCGAACAAGTGAAATTCAGGCCAGCTAATACAACACGCTTGCTTTTTGCGGTGCCTTGGCATGCACTTTTGCATTTTGGTGTCACCCATCCCGACGATCTACCTCCATGAGTATCGTATACACTACTTGAAGGGCGGCATATCGAACCATCACTTGCTCATTGCCAAGATTATCATCCCCCTTTGCTCCTAAATCCTAAATCGCCAAGCAACCACCCTACTGCAAAATCATGTAAAGTGTGTGCCTGTTGACATGTTACCAGAAATGGATGACATGGGTTGGGAGGGGGGGAGACATTATATATGTTTCATGGAAAAAAGGTCCTTACAACTCAACACCATGATGCCAACAATGAAATCCAAAATAAAGAAATGCATCAATGTGTCCCTATAGGAGAACTAAAATGATCCAAAAAGTGCAATTGTGGATAGATTTGTGCATGCAGTAATTGTATTAATGCTTCTCCCTGAGAAACATGGTATCTATCTAGATAGCGTGTGTATGTATAGGTACTGTACATGAGAGAACTTGCTTAATGGATATGAGGTTGTGAACGATGGTGATGGAGATGATGATGATGCTGGCAGTGGTGATCTACACCATGATGATTGCAAGTAGTGTGGTGGTGGTTGTCATGATGATAATGATGGTGGTGATGGTGATGATGATGATGATGATGGTGATGATGATGGTGTTGTGGAATATCGGATGCCTTTTCTTTCTTTTTTGTCGTTGTAGTAGTCGCTGATAATGAACGTCGCATCCCAGCATTGTTGCATGATGACGATGATGGTGCTGGTTGATGATGTTGCTGGTTGCTATGGCGATGAAGACAAGGAGTGTGATGGCAATTTTGATGTTCTAATGTAGCATGAGATGATTGAACGAGAGGACTGGAGTTGTTTTGATAGCAATGTTGGTGACAATGATGATGATGTCCATGTGGCGGATGATGGTGATGATGCTGTGGTCGGTGATGGTTATGATGACAACAGTGATTTGGTAACGGTAGAGTATGGTGATGATGCATGTAGTGGTAGTGGTGGAAATGATGACATGCATATTCAAAGTCGTTAGCTGCAGGTGGTTGATCAGGTGGGGGTGTTGGTGGTAGATGCATTGCTGCAACAGGATGTAGCAGCTCACATTGCCGTGTTACACAACGTTCCTTGGCAGGCTCATTGATGACAGGCACTGGAAGCTGTTGCTGATGACAATGGTGATGCTGATGCGATGTGGTGGCTTGCCTTGCGCTTTTGGTGGTCTGCAATTTCAGTGTTAACCCTTGTCCGTGCATATGCATAATTCCATATCTTACCTGTGGCTGCGATCTTAGGATACTTTGCTGCGTGCTTGGTTTATTCCTTGATGTCCTTTGTGCACTCGTAGCTGCTGCTTGTATCAGCTTACTAGGACGTAATAGGCGATAGGTGTCATTGTCATTGTCAAATTGTGGTTCATGTGCCAGAGCTTTGGGTGTCACCGATGGCGATGGTGTGGAGATAGATGGCTGCGGGATAGCTGCTGCTGTGCATACGACCGCATCAGTTTTTGAAATAAATGCAAAAAATAGTAATATCGGGTATCCCTGGGATCTGTGATTGCGCAACTGCGCATACCTTGTTTAGGATGTAATTCTTTAAGAATGTCGTCAAGTAAGCTGCCAGATCCACTCGTGTCTTGGATAATGTCTTGTAGTGCGCTGCTACTAATGAAATCGGAAGATGCTGTTGTTGTAGCAGGATTGTTGTTGTGTGCATACAAGCTTGAGGAGCTGGTGTTGGTAGTAGTAGTAGTAGCGGTAGTGGTGGTGGTCGTTGTTGGTGTTGTTGTCGCCACCGGTTTATCTTTCCGGGTAAAACGCAGCAAACCCATCCAAACAAAGAAAAAGCAAAACAAAAAGGTGAAAGAAACGCGAAGATGCAAGCGGCCTATTAATATAGGCGAATCAATGGTTTTTTTTGTTTCTTTGAAATCTAGCCCGAACTCCTTCCCCTTATGCCCTCTCGAAATAAGAACTCTCCCGTTCCACGCGCACGATCCCCTTTGGTAGTAGCCACTTTTTTTTTTGCGCTTTTGTCTTTTTACCTTGAGCATGAACCAACAAAAATGAATCGCAGCACATGTGCTTCGAAAATTGCCACACCTTTTTTGAATCCCCCTTCCCCGAAAACCTCCCCGATGGCGCTTATTTTCTCATTGTTGTCTTTCCATTGAAGCCTTTTCAAGCGCTGCTTACTCGTGCTGCATCTCCACTCCTATAATTAGCACATCATATTCATTTTCAATGGACCCCTTGTACAGCTGCAAATTGCAATAAAATGGGTGCATCCCCGGTATTCTACTATTGTTTGTATTAGAGGACATCATCGCTAGCATATTAACACGACTACATGCATTATCCAATACCCTATAGCCCAGTATCCGTATACTTTAGCAATATGCTTTTTTTAATTCCGCTCATGAAATACCAGAATTGGAAAGACGATCATGCAATTACGCATGGTTGATCTCCATAACCAGGCTTATGGTTTCCCGCTGTCATTACGTTTAATTCTTGATCATGTGCATGTTTATTATGTGCGTGAGTATGTCTTTTACCACCCAACAATAAAATCAAAGTCCACATGTCCTGGCTAAATCCAATGTTTGATATCTTGATTCATAGACAAGATGAAGGATAAAGGGGTACAAGTGCTATACTTGAAAAAAGGAGTAGCATCATCAGGTCTTTTTCCACCTGCTTCCTGTGAAAAAGATACATACATGTTACCCACGCACACACGTATATAAGAATCCAGGAGAGCCATAGTAAACAATACGAAGATCCATACGACGACGACGACAATAAGGGGTCAGCTTTTTGACATGTTCAATTGACATAATATGGGGAGAGGAGGTATCCATTCACGCGCGGGGATAGGATTTAGCCGAATCGGTTTGAGCCCCGGTTCATTCAATTCCATGATGCCAAGGGAAAAGTGATGGTATCCAAACATTGAAGCTATATTGGGCGCATGATACAGCAGCAATACTCCAGATGCAATGGTAGTGATGGTTGCGCTACATGGGTCATGTGTAGTGCGTGAAGGCTTCGCATGACGAGGCGGGCGGTTAATCATACGCTTAGCTTGGTTCTTGCTGCTTCTGCTGCTGCTGTGCCAACCTGCAGGCTGTTGGGTCACGTTGGATTCTTTTTTATTTTTTCGCCATCACCGCGACATGAACATCGATTGGAGGGTTAAAAAGGGAGGATCGTCCATAAAGAATCCTATTCCTTTTATTCCTCTATATAGAACGCCTTCCACATTGGGTGAGCAACATGCCCTTGATGGTGGTATTGGTTCTACCAAGGATATGCATATCGATATTAGATGCGTGTGTGTGTACTCATCAATGGTGATAATAATGCGCATGATGAGTAATACATTCACACTGACATGTCGGGCGCACGTATGTTTCCCGGTGACAGAAAATAGTGATAAACTTACAATAAACCGCCAAAACATGCATTAATCATTCATGCTGCTGTGTTTGCCGATTCAATCACACGATGTGGTAGTCGCGGAGAATCTAAGAGAAGAGTGTAGCGGCTGCGTGATCAGGTTACGCCTATTTGTCACGCAAGATGTAGCCAGTTGACTGTCCTGGTGCTAAGCACAAGCATCAGCATCGTTTGCTATATATAGTCTGTCATCCAGTTTTCCTTTTTTCTTGACTTTTTTCTATCATTTCTTGTGTTTACATTGTGTGTCATCTTTTCCCCACATATTTACTTTGCGGCAAAACAGCTAAAATAAACAACAACAAAAGACTATGGGTGCTCAACAAAGCCATCAGGCTCGAAGGACCTCCACTTCTTCATCCGGCACCAGTAAACGAGGAGGGAGTCATGTTGGCAATATTTCAAAAGAACAACAATCAAAGGAATCAACGAGTAATAGCAGCAGCAATAGCACGGATGACGAGATTGAATCATTTAATCTTTCAGCCAATGCCACAGCCATTCGACGAAATGAGGTTGCTATGAATCGAACGTCGCATAGCAACAGCAACAACAATAGCCAACAGCGTATCTCAACCTATTCCACGACATCATCATCATCGGATCAGTCATCGCTTGGATCCACTCTTTTCTCACTTGCATCTACCACCACCACCAGTAATAGTATAGGTACAACACCACCCTCTTCATTCTCATCCTGTCACTCGTCCTCAGCTAAACGTCATCATCATGGTCACGAGGGGATCATGAACAATAATGCATACGGTGGTGTGCGACGCTACACTGCTTCTTCTCGCCCCAACAAGATCGTCGATATCTTTGCTAGCCGTGTGAGTACCACGAGTAGCCGTGGGTTCAATACAGCTTCACTTCCACTCGATGTCGACTATGCTTTCAACACGCTGACGACCCTTGCCAAGACCGATTGTGCAGCACATGTACCATTAGCTATCTGCTACGATTACGGTTTCACCCCGAACAGACAACAGGATCTGCAAAAGGCATTAATGTGGTACAAGCGAGCTGTTGCAGGATCCAATGATGATACACAAAAGACAATGATCGCCTTTGCGCATTACCGTATCGGAGTCATCCTTTCTTCTCTTTCATCCACCAGCAGCAGCAGTAGTCGTCGACACCAAAAACAGAAACGAGATAAACAACATGATAGCACAACAACAGAAGCATCATCAGCCGTTGTAGAACATTTTCGAATGGCGGCAACACAAGGCAATGCAATGGGACAATACGCCCTTGGAATGTGGTACCTGAAGCAGCAAGAGATGTCTCATGCACGAGAATGGTTGATGGCATCGGCCAACCAGGGCTGTGATGTAGCACAAGAAGCGCTTGGTAGTCTGTTGATTGATTGTTCCAAAGATAATGAGCAAAGTGAAAAGCAAAAAGGAATACATTATATCCGATTGGCAGCAGATCAGGTAACGTGAACCTCTCCTTTTATTGCCAGGGCAACATCACCTTCCATTTTAAGTCATGTCTCCATTGTGTTTCACATTATTCCTACTTCTTACATTGGTTGTTGTTGTTGTTGTTATAGGATAATGGCAGAGCTCTTTATCGATTGGGGACATTGTATGAAGAAGGGGCTTTGATTACTCAAGATACAACTCATGCTATGACATTCTATGAACGAGCTGCCTTGGTTGCTGATAACAGTGATGATGACCATAGCAGCAGCAGTCTTCGTGCTCGCGCCCATTATGCAGCGGGGATCCATCGACGTATCGTCTTGTGCGACTATGAGAAAGCATTGCATCACTTGAGTGTGGCTGCCAAATGTGGGCATGCAGCTGCACAGCGAGCATTAGGATTGATGTATGCCGAAGGGCTTGGTACCACACGCGATGAAATCAAGGCACACAAGTTGTATAGCAAGGCTGCTGCTCAAGGTGATATACGTGCTCTAGGATTGTTGGCCAAGCAATATGAAACAGGCCGTGCATGTGTGATGGATGTCAAACGTGCTCTCTACTTGTATGAAAAAGCGGCCGCTGCTGGATCAATCGCTGCTACTCTTTCACTCGCCGAGTTGTTACAACGCAATGGTCGTCTCACTGAAGCCTTTCCTTGGTTTGAACATGTCGCTTATGGAACAACAACACCATGCGAAGACGATGAGCAGACGCAATTTCGAAACAAGGCACGACTCATGGTGGCACGTTATCGACTGCAAGCATGGGGCAATGTGGAGCGTAAACCAGCATGGGCGTTCAATGAGCTGTTGACATTGGCCGATTGTGATTGTTATGCACCTGCGTATGTGTGGGTGGCCACTTGCTACAAACAAGGTGTGATGGATGATGCGTCAGTGGTGGTTGTACAACGCAACATGCTCAAGGCGTTCGAATACTATGAAAAGGCAGCACACAGTGGCGATGCAGATGGACAATTCCAAGTGGCGCATATGCTTGCTAATGGCATCACCGAGCAACCAGTGGGGAATCTCATTGCCAAGGATACAGCACGTGCTCTCGAATGGTACACCAAAGCTGCCGATGCAGGTCACATGACAGCTCAATATAGCCTTGGTCTCTTTTTCGCCAATGGTATTCCACCTGCCACAAAAGACATCGATCGTGCTTCTCGTCTCTTTGAACAAGCTGCTTTGCAAGGTTCGGTTGATGCCATGATTCAACTCGCCAAGATCATTCTACACGACAATGGACGTGAGGCTCTTTATTGGTTACAAAAGGCTGCTGCTTCTGGTGATCCTTCTGGTGTAAGGGAACTTGCTGCTATCTACGAATCCGATGTGGCTCTCCCATTCCTCAAGAACAAGGATGCTCGCTACAATGCCGCATATCAACTCCTCAAGCGTACAGCCGTTGAGCACAATGATCCACTTTCTTGGTGTGCTTTAGCTCGGTACCACGAGAATGGATGGGTGGTGTCACAATCCATGGATGAAGCTGTTGCATGCTATTCCAAAGCCGAAAATCTGGATCACCCAAGGCAAGTACAAACATTGACATGTCAATGATGTCACTAACACACTTAAAATGCATGCAGGGCGGGCTTAGCAATGGCTGACATGTTTGAACGACATGAGATGTGGGACAAGGCAATGGACAAGTACACTTCCTTGGCGACGACACACAAGATGCTTACGCTTGTCGGTTGGAAAGCAAGGCTTGCTAAAGGAAGATTGGTGCTATCTCACAATCAAGGCACCCTTCAAGATATGGCTGATGTCTATGGTTGGCTATCTGAAATGGTCGAACACAATACTCCTGGTGACAAATCCATTGAGCCATTCGAAATGCTTGGTACGTTGCTATTTGATGATATCAAGGATGATGTGCTAATTGATTTATTATCCAGGTGCGTGCTGCGACTATGGAAAGGGTACAACAAAAGATGTCACTAGTGCCATGACGTGGTACGAAGCAGCCATCAACGTTCAACCTGTCAAACATTCACCAAATTGGATACAAGAACGAGCTCGTTTTCGGCTTGCCATGCTGCATATGGAGATTGATCAGCACAAAGACGCCTTCAACTACTTTAAGCAATTTGAACCATTGTTGGAACAAATGAATCATCATTCACCAGAGACACGTCAACATGCAAGAGTTATACGTTACCACCTTGGTAAGTAATATTCCATCTCTTTCCATATTCATTTTACTGATCAATGTATGATGTAGGTTATCTGTTACATCATGGCAAAGATGTGGAGCATGATAGAGCAGCAGCGAAGCAATGGTTTCAACAAGCTTGTGATGAAGGAGAAGGACGAGCTGCCTATGAACTTGGCATGATGGCATTGGAGGAAGACGATGATCAAGAAGCACGTAAACGATTTGATCAAGGTGTATCTGCACGACACGCTGGATGTATACGCCAATTTGCACTTGTTCTCGAACGTGATCAACGTGATGAGTTGCATTGGGATGGCCATGATGTGATGGAATGGCTTGAAGATGCCGCAAGACTTGGTGATATTGAAGCCTTGATTCATCTCGGCAGAGCTTATGAGTATGGCCTCGGCAAAGATTATCCTTCAGGTCAGCTACGCACTGCATTACAATTTTACGTGGCGGCTGCACAACAAGGACATGTACGAGCGATGGTGAAGGCTGGCGAACTATATAGCCGTACGGGTCGACATTATGATGCGGTGTGTTTCTTCAAAAAAGCAGCGCCAAAGGATTTGACAGCACGTGCCATGTTAGCATCCTATCGACTTCAAGGCAAAGGTGGAATGCAACAAGATGGAAGCTTTGTGTATCTTGAATCGTTGGTGCGTGAAGCGTTGCTGAACATGGATGATTGCTTGCGTAATGAAGAGGATAAGCATGGCATGGGATTGGCACTCTTTCTATTGGGACAATGCTACGAGGTCGGCAAAGATCCTGCACCTTTGGATTTGGAGACAGCCAAAAAATGGTACACAGTGGCTGTCAATGTTGCAAGCCATGCTGAAGCCATGTATCGCTTGGGTCTTATTTGCAGTTTGCAAGAGAACGATGAAGCCAGTCTTGATTGGTATCGAATGGCGGCTGAAAAAGGACGATTACGTGAAGCACAATACCAAGTGGGTCTCTTTCACAAGGAAGGACGAGGTGGTTTGGAGATCAACATTATCGCAGCACGCAACTATTTTGCAAAGGCGGCTGATCAAGGTCACCCACGAGCAAAGTATGAATTAGCGCACATTCTATGGCGTAAGGGAGAGCACCAAAAAGCATTTCACTTGTACGACGTGGCTGCCAAATTGATGGTTCCTGAAGCAATGCGAGCCCTGGGCAATATTTATCATCAAGGTTTCAATGACGACAATGCATCATCATCATCATCATCGCGATACAGCATACCACGTGACTATGCCCGTGCATTCACTTTATTCTGTGAAGCAGCCAAATTGGGTGATGCCGTTGCTGCATTAATGGTTGGCACCTATTTCCAAGAAGGCTATTTGGATCAGCAACAGGATGATGACAGCAAACGTCATCAACAGCAACAACAACAACCTGAATTCCATATTGGTGTTGACCATGACCAGGCACTACAATGGTACGAGATGGCGTATAAGCTTGGCTGTGGACCACTTGCTGAGATTGCTATTGGGAGTATCAAGCATACCATGGCTACCAACGTTGAGAGTGAATCATGGGAAGATGCCGAAGGATTACATGAGGAAGCTTATACATGGTTTTGCCGTGCATCAAGATCGATGGCACCGGAGACACAATACGCCACAATCATGGTTGCTCTTTACCATATTCATGGTTGGGGCCGTGTTCAACATGATCCTTCCAAAGGGTTTCGATTATTGCGTGAGATGGCGGATGCAGGCGGCACCGAGGCGTATGTGGAATTGGCAAAGTGCTACGAAGAAGGAATCGGCGTTGAGCAAGATTTAGTTCAGGCTCTTACATTTTGGGAGCTTGCAGCCGCAACTCACAATGTGGCAGCTCTTTTGCGGGCTGGGGAGTTTCACGAACGCGGTCTAGCAGGCCAAGTCAATATCAACAGGGCAACCCGATATTATGCTGAGGCGAGAGCTTCTGGTAAGAACAATCATAATACATAGATGCGTGAGAGAGTCAATTCTAACATGTGTATATAGGAGCGCGTGTGAATGGAACAGCCCCATCCTCATCTGCATCATCATCTTCATCTTCTTCATATACCCTAACGATACACTCCTCCTCTTTTATTAATTCCTCCTCCTCCTCCCGACAGCAGAGTCAACATGCTCTTGATGATCCATCTTATCCCTCATTCTAAATAGATCTAAAACCCCTATCTTTTTGTAATTTATATCTTTGTATTTTCATCTTGCTATCTAATAATATGATTCGACATGTTCAATAGGATGTGAATTGATGCGAGAGAGGTTTCCGGAAAAAACGTTGTACTACCCTTATGATTACACATATTTGTGGCAGATCGTGTCCCCGAAAGATGGGATGAAACACGGCGTGCGCGTGGTCCGTCAACAATAAGAAAAAAGGTGCCAACTACCTCCTGGATGACGAAATTCTGTATGATTTTTGTTTGTCTTACAAATGGATGATTAGAAAACGCGAGAGAAAAAAGAGAACACATTACCTACCTTATGTCGTATGCGTATGCATGATTACCCGCCGCGGACACCAATCTCAAAAGGAAGTAGCAGCCGCCGATTCATCATTATTCGTTTTCTCTCACTTTTTTTTTACTCTCGCTGTCTTTTCAATGGCTCGCTCACACAACAATGGATATCAGTCTATGTTAAACACCCAGTTCTCCACTTCGCCTAATTCTTACCATTCTACTCACGATGCCCTGTTGCGAAATGCACATGAGGACAGCAATGGAGCAATGGCACAACCTGAACAACAAAGAACTAGCCAAGTCACTACCCGCTCAAGTTCAAGTGATACGTTACATGCATTATCCAAAGGACAAGACCACAAGAGCGATAACGAGGATAGTGACGATGAGATGCAAAGAGCCGAACGGCGTCCCTTGTTGAGTGGTAATCACCACAGCAACACCAGCAACAACAACAACAACAACAACAACAACAAACAAAAGCACCATGAACAGCCACACTCTACTTTGATGCAAGTATTACATGCTATCCTTGGCGAGATTACTGGATCCGAATATCTTGAAAACTCGGGTAGCGTAGCTCGAGATCATCTTGGTAAGTAAGGTACTTTAGTATATATCAACTAGAGAAGGATACTGATTAAGGATATGATAGCTAATGAACGGACGTACCTCGCTTGGCTGCGAACCAGTTTATCGACCATATCTGTGGGCGTAGGTAAGGTTTAAGATATATTATACATGACCATGCAGCCTATGTGACACATTTACCAATCATGAATCTCCACTATGTATAGGTATCACACAGCTGTTTCGCCTGGACAGAGCAGTGGAGCATGATCCTTATCTGAGAACGTGGGGTAGACCTGTCGGACTCATATTCATATTCATGGCTATGCTGTTTCTTTCTTTTGCATTTGTACGCTACTTTCATTGTCAGACGACCATGATCAAGGGATACTTTCCAGCATCTCGTGGCATTGTTGTATTCACTTCTACCCTCACCCTCCTTTCCATGATCGCACTCTTACTCGCTGTCTTTTTTAAACGCTAAAAAAAAACAACATTGACTTGTTTTAGCAACAATACCCCTTTATCGATGATGCCTTTCATTATTAAAACCCAAAACAAAGCACATATACATTGAAAGAAAAATAGTACTAGTGAAGGAGGAGGAGAAGATTGGGGGAGGATATAATCTAATCATCACGTACTGTCGTCTCGGTGTTGGGAGAGCGTAACAAGGGTTCTCTTTCACCCTCTTGAATTTCTTCGTCTGAAGGGAAGGGCCAACGCAGTACACCATTAAAGTAAAAAGTGCCCATTACCATGACAGCAAAGCCAATGACCTGGATCCATGAAAATTGTTCCCATCCAAGATACAAAGATACCATCCAAATGAACAGTGTTCTAGTAATAATGAGCACGTGTGAGATAATTTCCTTTTCCGATCCGCATAATTACTCTCGCCGTACATCTTGTGACAGATCCCGTGATGGCACGTCATTTCCACACCTCTCCACACCCGTTCTTTGTTTACCTGCATGCATCAATTGTACTTCTTGCGGTCGCTGAGACTTGGCTTGTGATGGATAATCCAAACCAATTGAACATGGCAATAGAAATAGCAATAGCAATACCGGTTTGCCACACTGCTGGGACGTCAAAGATATCATGGAAACCCACATTCAAATCAAAGTACAGGCTCTTGTCGGCAAAGAGAACGTGCAAGATAGGCATAGCTGCCAATGTCGAGAACAAGCCAAAGGATCCTTCATAACCAACAGCCTTGAGAGGAGTCACCCGATAACGAGACATGATCTTTTCTTCCAAAATGAATTGTGAAGCTGTGAACAATTGTGCACCAAGGATCAAAAAGACGCCCACAAGTGAGAGCACATCAAAGCTGCTGCTGCCACCATCGTTGTCATTCTCGGCATTGCTGGAAGGCTTGTTTTGAGGCACCAATACAGACGACAAACCCACAATTGATACACCGCCGACGACCATCAAGAGCGATACCCATTCGAAAAGTCGCAGACGACGATTAAGGAAGAAATAGCTAAATATGCCAGTGAAAATGACGACCGAACCGCGGAGCATCTGGTATACACTTGCTGATGTGAACAATAAACCAGCACTCATCACCTACATAGTATGGTCTATGTTTAACATCATGGATGCTTCCTTTCTTGATATAAAATTACCGTGGTAGCTGTCATATCACACAATGTAGGAATCCATAAAAGTAAAGCCTTGGCACCTTTAAGTTCTTGATGATGATGTTGTTGGTCGTCTTTGGCAATTTGATCATCCACATCGTCCACCACGCGTGCATCGTACATGTGATCGGGTGCAGATGGAGGAACCGGTTGCATCGATTGTCTTCGTCGTTCAATAACTTGGTATACGTAAACGATCCATACGGCTGCCTCGCCAATGAACATGTTCACTCTATAAGGATTCTTCAATAAAGAGATCCATGTACTAGGCTAGCCCTTCTTTACTCACGTCTGCCATACAGGCTGTTCAAAGTAACGTCGCTTTTCAGGATCAGGGTCATCGCAAAACTCGACACATTGCATGTCTTGATACTTGTTGAGAATGGTGTTGCATACGCCTGATCAAGCTCCATTAGAAACGAGGATTGCATAAATAGAAAGAAATCTCCATTGCCGTGGGCTGTAGAGAGTCAATGAGGGAGGGCAATTTACCAGAGGCCAGCATGCCCACGACGAGCAAAAGGATACTTGACTTTTCCGAGGAAGGTGGCATTTTGATAAAAGTGTAAAAGGAAAAAAGAGACGAAAAAGAGGATTGGTTATCGTCGTTCTTTATTGCTTGCTCCTTGTTCTGTACCACGCACGCACATGCTATGTGGGGGGAAATGCCGGTTACCTGCATGAGATAAGCGACTCGCTTCCGACAACTCACACCAACCACATACTCTCACATTTGATTTCACCTACACCGCTCGTTTACTATACCTATCCAGCTTGAAACAAGGCTACCTTCGGTTCGTTCCAACAATGCTCCCGATAAGCAGGTTTATTATCAGAGTAGCACAAGCATGTTATACCTCCTGGCATACTCTTTTGTGGAACACAAAGCATTTCATGCATGATGATTCGTGCTTGCTTGGATAGCACAGGTGAATGATGTCATTTCTCCTCAATGTTGATAACATCACCTGACCCAGTATCATATGCAGAGGAAAGGATCCCACTCTCTATATATAAACACAAACATCAGAAATTCACACAAGCACGCCATTCTCCAATAAAGTTATCATTGAGTTTCCACGTCATGTACCCGATATGATGATTACATGCATAGCGTCTACTATGTACGTAGCTTGGTCAACAAATCAGATAGCAGCTAGCTTATAGATCTCGCTTGTGAAGATGCTCGCTGAGGAAGCTGGGGATTCATTAAGTCTCTTGGATCATTTGAATTGCTATCATCTTGGTCTACTAAGGCTGTAGTCTAAAAACGCGTGTCTCAAGAGGGATCTTCAATACAATGAAAATGCGGCATGTATAATAAGCATGGGTGTGTAAAATGAGAAAAGGAATGGGCGTCACAAGAGGCTAACAATACCCATCGACCACTTCCAATGATATACCATCCCGAGAATGAAGGGAGTGACAACACATATGAAATACCAAACATGAACCACCTCTAACCATGTCCCACAACTATTGAGATTGGTGCATAAATATACAGTAAGCTAGTTTTATATAACTTGTTTGAAAAAATCGATGCTGTACATTGACTAAAAATCATAATCATCATCTTCCATAGCACTTCTCCCTCGTTTGGCTCCAGCAGTATCAGTGGGTTGTTGCTGTTGTGATGACTGATCTATTTGCATGGGTGTTTCAGTATCTGGTGATGCCATGGAGGGTTGACTGGATGAGCCAGGTTGATCGACAATGGGTTGTGGTGGAGGTGGTGCCTGAAAAGATGACCATTGTTTAGTGACCCAATCCTCTTGACAACCCATACCCATAACTTACATCGGGAACAATGGAGAAATTGAGGCCTGTCAAGCAATGCTTTTCATTTGGAAGACGAATGCCATACTTTTCAGGGATCAATGGCAATGGTATCTTGTTCTTTTCTTCAGCAAGTTCAAGCAAAAGCTATACGATAGCCATCATCAACTAAGTAAGCCTATGTATGGATCCCATGCCTCCCTGTCGACTTACTTCTTTGGGTGGTGGGTTGGTGAAAGAGTGGTTGACTCGTCCTTGTATAGCCAATTGCACATCGTCCAGATCAAGATCGTTTTTGTTCGCGTGTTCTGCATAGACTAGAGCATCCTGTAGTACATCGCTAGTATACCCTATAAATAAAGTACACGATCGGTGTCAGCGTGTGTTGAATGAGATCACCAAAAGGCTACTCACGATGCGCAAATTCCAGTAACTGAACGACGACTTTGGGATCGTACTGCTCAACACCCAGCGATTGGAGTATAAGGGAAATGATTTTGGCGTCGCGTGGTTGTGTTTGTTGCTTTTGATATTTTGATTCTGAAGGCATCGTGTGTGTATAAAGTTGTATGGTAGATGATACGTGTGTGAGTGTGTGAGTGATAAAAGAGGACATCGGCAGCAGCTGCCACCTAAATTTAATTCTTTGGGTAAACCGGCAACCCCTCTCCGCACATCATCGAAAGACTGAAAAGATTGGCTGTTGAACCACTTTATACTTTGTACAGAATTGTTGAGAATTATATACAGAGGATGATGATTGAGGAGGGATGAAAATGAAAGAAAAAAAAAGAAAAGCAAAACTACTAATTTATCATACATCTTGTTTCCAAACAGAGTCGCATACTTGGGTAACTTCCCACATAGGACGCACATCATGGACACGCATAATATTCGCTCCACCAGCAATACTTGCAGCAACAGCAGCAGCAGTACCATAAGTTCGATCCTTGGCTTCAGAGACACCAGTGAGATTGCCAATGAACTTTTTGCGACTAGGACCCATAAGCGATGGAAGACCTTCAAGTGGCGAATCGTGATCATGAGTCATGTCACGCAAACGACGCAAGATTTCAATATCATGCTTGGTTGTCTTTGCAAATCCGAGACCAGGATCGATAATGATATTCCATCGACAAACACCGGCAGCAATCGCTTGTTGAACAAGATGTTGCAAACGTAAAGACACATCCTCGACAACGTCATCATTGTCATAAGTGACATTCTCCTTGGCCATCATCGTTTTGGCATCGCCACGCATATGCATAAGACACACAGGCACCTTGGATTTTGCCATGACTGCCAACATTTCAGGATCGCGTGCACCACCGCTAATGTCGTTGATCAAGTTGGCACCTGCTGCCACAGCAGCCTCAGCAACAGAGGCACGGAAAGTATCAATCGAGATGGGTAGATCAAATCCACGTTCACGCAACTTTTTGATAACAGGGACCACACGACGAATTTCTTCCTCAGCAGGGAATTGATCATCAGCTCCAGGACGAGTTGACATGCCACCAATGTCAATAATATCAGCACCATCCACCTTCATTTGCTCTGCAGCTGCCACAGCTTGATCAATATCAATGTAATTGCCACCATCAGAGAAGCTGTCAGGGGTTGTGTTGAGGATACCCATGATATACGTCTTGCGTTTCCATGCCCACAGCTGACCAGGCTGGATAGGGATCACCTTATCAATCTTGGCAGGTCCTTGTTCATGCTCAGCAGCAACCTTGAGAAGCTGTGACAACAATTGACCACATGTCTTGTACAACTTGGGATGCTCCATATCCTTTGCAATGTCACAAAGAGGCCATAGCACAAATTCACGTTCTTGAATGCCGATATGAGGAATGGTCAATGTCTCCGTTTCCAAGACAAGGTCGTTGTAGAAGAGAATATCCAAATCAACAGGTCGTGGTGCGTTACGGAAGCTTGCGGTGCGACCAAGGGTGCTTTCAACATGTTTGAGGCGTTCAAGCAATGCATGTGGATCAAGGCAAGTGGCGATTTTACATACAGCGTTGAGGAAAGCGGGTTGCTCAGTATAATACATGGGTGGTGTCTCATACAAAAAGCTGGTATCGAGTACAACCGATTGACATTCGTTTTCAAGCATTTCAAGTGCAGTGTAAAGGTTGCCTACGCGATCGCCCATGTTGCTTCCCAATGCGATATAAGCTGTATGTGTGTATTCAGCTGGGATCTCCTTGCCGGCTTCCACGTGATGTGCAAAAGTGCGACGCGATTTTCTCTCTTCCTCAAGCATACGATTCAACCAATGTCGATCACGTGTTACTTCAATACCAGACGCATCCGCAAATAAAATGGCGCTTGGCTTCTCGAGACGCACACGAATCTTGTTGACATGGCATTTTTCCAAAGCAATACGTGCAACAGTGACAGCAAATGCTTCCACGGTCTTGTATCCAGATGATTCAATGTGACGAGTCAATGTGCGTACCATGGTTCGCATGTGGTAGCTCTTATTGGCCTCCGTATCAGAAAACAGGATCTTGGATGGATACACCGTCAAGTTGATAAGCACAACTTGCTTCTCCTCACGTTCCCACGGGTTCACACCAATAATGGTCGACAATCGAAGATCCTTAACGAACACCATATCATCCACGCCCAATCCAGATACATCGCCCACTGTTTCACCGTTCTCTTGAATCGACTCGAAATCAGCACGCGTACGGCTTAATTGCACGCCTGCAGCAGCCGCATGTAATAATGCCTTGGGTTGTTCCACACGCACAGCGGTACGCTCAGCCTTAAAGTCGACACAGCATAAACGCAAGATAGCATGACCCAAAGCCTCAATCGACTTGAAGGTGCTTGTCTCGGCCAACTTGGTAATCGCCTTGGTAACATGGCCATAATGGATCGAGTTCGTCACATGGTCAGAGTTGCCAGCTGCTGTAATGTCAGTGTAGAGCCACACGCTGATCACCACGGGTTGCGACTTTAGCCGTTGCCATGAATCCACACCGGTGACGTTCTTGAGCACGAGATTCTTGATAAGAATCTTGTCGAGATGTTTTGGTTCGCCTTCAGTCTCCATTCGCACGCGTTGGGAAAAAAGAAAGATGGAAGATGCAAAATTATTTGATGCGGAGACAAAGGTAAAGCATCTGTCATCTATGTGTCACTTGACAACAACCACCACCCCACTCTGGTTGCCATGGCGACTACATTCAAAAGAAAATGATGTATACAATTTGGACAAACTTTGAAGTAGCTTCTGTAACGATAGCAATATTAGAATGCTGATTTGAAAGGATCATAGCCCTCTTGTTTGTAAATAAAGCATTATCATGGTAGTAGTGGGTTGTCTCTATGCCATATGTCTTCATGACAATTGAGCACTGACAAGGGCAAGCTGCAAAAGCATCGGAAGCAAAGGATCATGATGATCATACATACTTACCAAGTAACTCGTCAAATGCCAGCTACATCCCTTCACTCAATGTGGAAAAGTGTTTTACATACCATCCATTATAGCTTTACAAAGGATCGACACCACAACTGGTCATTTGATGAGAAGCAATGGCTAATCCTTAAAGACGTAACGAGCAACTTCATGCAAGGTTTATATGATAGCATCACTGGTTTACTAGAAGAGTATTCAATTGAATCGATATTTTAGATACCAATGCTACTTTTACATCTAAGATGGTATAGCATCATCATTTACGGGGAGGGGTAGGAGGGAATTCGAAAGCTGTCATCTTGGTCTGTGCACGAGAATGAAACCTCGAGGGATGGCCTCTTTGTTTTCAATTCCAGGTACTTCTTTCAACAGCGATAACTCGTGACACACAAAAGCATGTTGGCAAGACGCTTGACAACCTCAAGGCTTTTTCTCACCCACACCACACGATCGACTTGTATGTAATGCTGCTACATCCGTGCTGGCTGTAATTGACTTCTTGCTTTCTAGATCAGGGCTTGCGACAGCTCCATGTAGCTCGACCACTCTTTTGCCGTACACAGCAACAATCGATTGCAGACACTAAACCAAGCGAAGGTATGAATCCTTTGTCATTGGCCTTGACATTACCTAACGTCAATGAAGATATTGCCACCACGCTTAGTGAGCTTGATCACCGTGCGATCGGCAAGGCACAGTCGCTCTTTATGATCCATCCATGTAGCCCTGGTTCGATATTTATGCTTCCACATGGTACCAGGGTGGTGCGCAAGTTGCAGGATTATCTCAGGGATGAATATACTCGCTATGGATACCAAGAAGTGATGACGCCAATCATTTACAAGAAGGATCTATGGGAAACAAGTGGGCATTGGCAAAACTACAAAGATGACATGTTTCTGGTACACAGTGGACGTGAACAACCAGCCGAGGATCACGATCATGAAGATGATGACACTGGTTATGGTCTCAAGCCAATGAATTGCCCTGGTCATTGCTTGATCTTCGACAGCACACAGCATTCGTATCGAGATTTGCCTATTCGCTTGGCTGATTTCAGTCCTCTTCACAGGTAAGCAAGGGCCTTTTATGGATCACGTGTCCATTTCATTGACAACATTGGATGATAGGAATGAAGCTTCGGGTGCGCTATCAGGCTTAACACGTGTGAGACGATTTCATCAAGATGATGCACACATTTTCTGTACCGAGAACCAGATTGCCTCCGAGATTGCATCCTGCTTGTCATTTGTTGATCGAGTCTACAAAGCATTCAAGTTTCCACATTATGAATTGACCTTGTCAACACGACCCGAAAGCAACTACATGGGAAGTTTGGAGGAATGGAACAATGCAGAGGCTGCTCTCAAGCAAGCCTTGGATGGTAGTGGACGTACATGGTCTATCAAGGAAGGTGATGGTGCTTTCTATGGCCCCAAGATCGATATCATGGTGAAGGATTCAAGTGGAAGATCGCATCAAACGGCTACGATTCAACTTGATTTCCAGCTTCCTCAGCGTTTTGGTCTCAAGTACACCGATGAACAAGATCGTACACGTACACCTGTCATTGTACATCGTGCCATCCTTGGCTCTGTGGAACGCATGTTGGCTATCCTTATTGAACATACCGGTGGAAAGTGGCCATTCTGGCTTAGCCCACGTCAAGGCATTGTCATTCCCGTTGCCACTCAATTTGCAGACTACGCCACCAAAGTTGCCAACTCACTTTCGCTCGGTGAAGGACAAGCAGTACACGCACAACAGCAATATTACGTTGATGTTGATACTTCCCCACGTGATCGCCTCAACAAGATGATTCGTCAAGCTCAACAACAACGCTACAATTTTATCTTTGTCGTCGGCCAAAAAGAAATGGATGCTGGTACCGTCAATGTGCGGACACGTGATGGCAAGATTCTTGGAACAATGCCTATAGACCAAGTGAGATCCATGTTTGCAGAATTGACCGAGAAACTTGAATAAATGGATCATATCATGGCGTGTTTTTTATTAGAGCAAGGGAGTGTTATAAGCTAAGAAAATTACAGCAAAGATTTGGGATGAAGATGGCTATTATGCTGCGAAGTTGAGTTATCGCCTCCCTGTTGCCCACTGTGATCGTAATGGACTTTCTATCCCCCAACCGCCTTATATGGCTTTCACCATCTCTTTCATGCGGTTGAATAAAGATATCCAGTTCTCTTTCGGCAGCTGAAATGCTCTCAAAATACAGAGCATCATATCGTAATTGAAAAGATAGATATAAAAAGTGGTGTTTGGAAAAGAGTGAATGTGGAAGAGAGAGAGAGAGAGAGACTTCGCCTTCCATTTCCACCACCACCTGGTTGGCAAGTGCATGGACTATGTTCGCTTCGAATGTCGTCCATTGCAGATTGATGTGTCTGTTGTCTGTTTTGTTCCGGTTCACATGGTTGACGACTGTCGCCAATTCTTCTAATGGGGTGGCCAACCATGCGCGCGCCACCAAACGATGGATAGCTTCTGTGTGATCAGTACCACCTTTGGAATCTGTGACGCAAACTTGAGATAGCCACTGGTTGAAACTGTGGCTGGAAGGATTGATTTGGAAACAAGATCGCGTACATGTCCATGATTGAATGCTTTCAAAATATACAGGTTCTTCTGCATGTATTTTTTTCACCTACAAAGGAGCCCCAAATTCCTATCAGACTAGGCATCATAAACGGTAGTTATACCTACCACAAAGCTCCATCAAGGAACACATCCAAATGTCATTAGGTACCACCAATGAGCACTTCAAGTGGTAAAGCAATGATGTGAGCTATAGATGAATGCATGAGTACTCTCATTTTTGGGATCCCATAAAGACTATCCTTGAGACTTACCAAAGGTCATCGATGATGATATGCATATACAAGTAGAAAGAAAGGGCGTATGATAGCGTTGGCGACAACAGCCTTGTTTATATGTGAGTGGGCGTGAGAATCGTTGTCATGATGGATCGAACTGACAAAGTGGTGGAGCACCGAGTAGAAGTGATAAACCATCCACCTGCCACTTGAAAGGTGATTTTTGTAAGTGACGTAAGTATATCCACCGTGTCGATGATTCATTCAACAATGGGCACAAGAGAAGTGATTGATCTTGGTATGCTTCCTTTCCCCATCCTGCTGTTGGTCATTTTCCATCGCAGCTCAACCAGATTAAGATTGCTTGTATTGCCGATGAAGCATATTATCCGCCATATTTACAACATCTAAATATTGCTATTACGGTGCTGTTAGTGATGCTCGTGAATGCGTAATAAATATATAAATGATAAGGTGGCAAATTAGCTTCCATGGAAACCCATGTACTGACAAGGATGGCCACGCGAAGGCTTTGCCGTCACCCTCTCCACCCTCTCATCTCTTCCCCACTTTCCACACTTCACCCCTGCTGTGTGGAATTCCAACTCGTTATCATCACTCGACAAGTAATCTTAACACCAAACACACCACCACCCAAATCGAACCACCGCACTTACCGCGACCTAATGGGCCCAGCCACCAACCGACTTACTCGCTTAAGCGAGAAGGAAAGCACCAGCCTACGCAACACCTTTAAAGCATTACGATCTCACCTACAGTGCCCAAGTTGCAACCGCAAGGACACTCTTACCCTCTATGGCTC